TTCCATGTTCATCTGCCGATCTGGTACTGAACGCAAGACAAGCCCAAGAGCACTAAATCAGTACCTGATTTATTTGCCTCACGTTGTCCGTACTAGCCAACAATTTTGAGTAGAATCTACATTGAACTAACAAGATCGCTCAATGTACACTATGAATCAGCTCGTCGCAGTTTCTTGCCGTGGCCGGTGAGGCTCAGCCGGAAGGCAGGCCACAGGCCACCGCGAATGCTTGGGGCCTGCGTCCAGCGTCTCCTCGGCTTCTCGTTGCTCATCAAACCATGCAGCCGCCACACGCGCCATAATCTAATCGCGCTCGCGATGCATGATGAGATCCAAGACCGATTACTCCCCATCAGGGGGCAGATATAGAAACAAAAAATTGAGAGTGCTCAATTACACAGTTTCTTCAATCTCCAGCCATATAAGGACCTTTAATTTATCATTCATGGTGAAAAAATTGAAGGGGGTGCTCCAGGGGTATCCATAGATCTTGTGGGTGCAGGGGGACTCGAACCCCCCTGCACTCACGTTGGATCCGCCCCTGCTCCCCATCAGATCTGACGAATTACTAAAAATCCCTTATTCAATTTTTTTTAAGTTCCGAATATACCCTTTTATATATTGGTAGTATATAATGATAGTATATTGTACCGTAAAAATTCTCATAGGTTTTACCGAAAGTCATCGGTGTCATCTGACACCGACCTTTATACGGTAAATGCGCAACTTTGCAGGGGCTCGCCGGCGGGAAAAACTGCTGGCTAACTACGATTCCTACATTGCTGCCGTCGACCCTTCCACAAGCTCCATTTCCACCTCGAGCCTGGGATTTCCTTCCACTGGCAACTAGCGGAGGTAGGTAGCCTCCCCAACCTCCCTCGAATCGATCTGCAGTGGGGTGAAAAAGGTCAAGAAAATTCCCAATCGATCGAGCACCCCATTTCCATATAAAGGTTATCGTTTCCGACCGCAACATTATTGGCTATTTATATATTCTGATTTTTTAATTTCTTTCTGCATCGTATTAATGGTGGCCCCGTACAGTTTAAATGATAAATATGATTAATTATTTCCGACCGTTTTCACTCTCAGGACGGTGTGGTGCGCGCGCGCCACATAGGAGGAGCACGCGCGCTGGGCGGAATGCGGACGTCGGTGCCGCTGCCATGGTGGTCGACTGGTCGCCGTCGATGCCGCCCCGCGCGCCGCCGGCGAACGTTGAACAGCCATGGCCGCCGCAGGACGCCAGGATCGATGATCAGAAGCTAGCACACGAGGCACTTCTCGGCCGCCTCTAGAGCACCACCGATCCATCATCCACGCACGGACCATCTATGGCGAAACCGCTTGCCGACCGCTGATCACGGCTCGTCACGCGCACGTATCGTCGCCGACCTGCTCGCAGCGCGCTCCGTCATCTAGCTGTTCCAGCGGCGTGCAATTGCACAGCGAAACACATCAATAAATTAAATAACTGATGAATTCGTACGATTTCTTCCCTGTATTGCATATCCCCATAATTAATTGCAAAAACCATGCTAGAAACCGTCAAAGGGGATAATCTACACAGTATAGAAAGTTTGAGAGTGTAAAATATCATCTCCAGCAATAGCTCCTATTTTACAACCCCTAAAAGTATAATGGGGGCTTCCCCATTTTCTGAGTACCTAAAAAATACCTTTTAACTCCAACAACAGTCCCTTTTCTCACCCCTTATTTCATTTCATCTTCTATTTTAACATATACTTTAAAGTACTAATCTATAGTTATATACTCTACGCTACTCCTAGTATAAAACCATAATAATCCAACCATATTTAAATTCACAATTCAAAACATCACAATTCAAATTCGATTTTTTAAAAAAAAATTAAAATGGAAATACAAATCCTAGTAGCCTGTATTCATAGCTCGGGTGAAACGAGCTTCTGCTGCTGTCGCGCTTCCATGCAGTTTCTCACATGTGCTGATTTTTCCTGTCCTCTCATCCACCAATAGACCTGCTACTTCTCTCACGAAGCAACAACCAAGCAAAGCAACAAAAAAGCTGCATAGCACATCGCATGTATCACTTTCCCCATTCTTCTTTCGTCCCACAATCGCAGTTGCTAGTGCTACCCTGCTACTACTGTCTCAATTTCGCAGCCCGCAGCAGCACTTGGACCATCCAGTGCCTTGACGCCATCGCATGACTCGGTCACTGGGCCATGTTTTTCATCGAGTTCAGGTGGAGAGTGCAGGCTGGAGGAGACTCCAGGCACGGCAAACGCGTCGGCCGGGGAGGAGCGTCGGGTAGAGGAGGGCACCTGAAGGAGGACACGGTAGGCAGGGAGGAGCCGCACCGGCCGGGGATAAGCACTGCCGCACTGGGCAGGGGAGGTGCCGACGGACCAAGACCACGTCGGGCAGCTCCCGCGCTTTTCCAACCGTGGATGGGGGCTGTGCAGTAGAGCCCCTGGGGGCTTGGAAAGGTTATTTGGGTGCCTGCCTAATTTAGGATCCTTGATAGGGGCTCTGCTGGATTGAGTTTTTTAAGCCTCAACACCCAAAATCTGTTTAGGGGCTATATTTAGGGTCCCTGCTAGAAATGCTCTGGTGTATTTTAAATAGGGTTAATTGGAACCATGTCATTGCAACTTCAGCTATTTGGAAATATGCCATTACAATTAGTGAAATCGGCTAGGTGCCATCGCAATTTCTTCCAAATTGGAACCATGCCATTATGTACGTCTGAATCACCATCCATGCCATTTGTCCTTGTACGTATTTCTATATGGACGCTTGTGCCCCTGGCTGAGACGATACAAGCCAGCCATCCCGGTCCGGCTTAACCATCTCTGTTCCCCATTCCCCATTCCCTATTCCCCATTGTCTGCAAACCCTAGCTCGCCGATAGAGATCTCGGCGGCGTTTGGTGCAGCGCCGGTGACAACGACGGGGGCTAGGGATACGGCGCCGGCGACGACGACGGGGGCTAGGGATACGGCGGCAGCTGTACCGATAGCTTCTCCCGGCGCAGATGGATCAACGTGGCAACGAGGTTGGAGGCGGCGATGGAGGCGAGCTATACCAGTGGCGGTGGTCGCTCTGTTTCTATCGTGACATAAGCACCAACCCTAACCTCTACTGAAAACCAGTGCCTACCATGAAAGGAGAGAACATCAACTGAAAATCTACATGTAAATACGATGAAATACCCAATGCACTTCTACTTTAGATATCCAAGGAGTATATTCGAGTTCAAGTTACTCATGGTATCGACGAAATAGGAGGAATCGAGCCTCCCAGATCCATCCCCTCCATCGGCAATTTCGCTGCGCACGATGATGTCGTAGGGGAGCTTGCGATCTTCAGGGGAACTTCTACATCGTGGGTCGTCGTCGCCGTCGAGATCGCCGTCGGCGAGCTAGGGTTTGCAGACAATGGGGAATGGGGAACAGAGATGGTTAAGCCGGACCGGGATGGCTGGCTGGCTTGTATCGTCTCAGCCAGGGGCACAAGCGTCCATACGGAAATACGTACGAGGACAAACGGCATGGATGGCGATTCAGACGTACATAATGGCATGGTTCCAATTTGGAAGAAATTGCGATGGCACCTAGCCGGTTTCGCTAATTATAATGGCATATTTCCAAATAGCCGAAGTTGCAATGGAATGATTCCAATTAACCCTTTTAAGATAAAGCGAAGAGTTGAAGGGTGAAAAATGGACTTATCCCTAATTTTTATGGCCATGGCGCAATGTGTAAGTCATGTACCATGTGGCAACAAGCTGTGAAAGCATTCATTACCTTTTGCAATCAGTAAATATTCTCCAGTACCTGAGTGTATATATACACTTATTAAAATGACACCTGAATCATGGGGTAAATCATTTTTAGTAGTTACTAATTTTGGTGAGAAACCTTAAAAACATCCAGTTTTTTTTTACAGAAGAAGGATATGTGCTTATATTATTTTACTTGTATATTATCATGAAATATTTGTGATTGTATTATTTCACTAATATACTACTGCCAAGGTAATGGTATGGGTGAAAACGGGCGGGTTCGGTCGGATCACGATATTCCCATATCCTAACATATTTTTCTTCAAATTTGGAACCTGGTACGGACGGTGCCAGGTAACATGTCACTCATCTCGTATCTATCCCATATTATTCCTCAATCGGATTTAGGAACGGATATTTATTTGTATCTCTAATTCGTATATATTAAAAATAAGGAAACAATTAAAGTGTTAAAAGCGATACATCAAGAAAAAAAAGTAATATTATTACGTGAGAAAATTACTCCTACAATGTCCTCGGCTTGTAAACAAGAAACCCAAACCTGATGGGTGTTTTTTACCATTCAATAGTAAGCCATCCACCAAACAGCTACTTTTAAAGCCAGGAAGAAAATAAGTCCTAACTAGAAAAGCCCAGCTAAACATAAGCCTAAACAAACAGGGCCTTAGGGTTGGCCCATCTGAGGGATTGAGATCCCGGGCAAGGGCCGCACGAGCAGATGGCGCAGCTCCTCTGGTGGTCACGACGGCGCGCGCAGCAAGCGCCCTCGATTGGAGGAAGGCGGCGAGGGGGAGGAGATCCGGAGCCAGAGCCGGAGCAGGAGCGAGTGCAATTTTGTGAGAATTTAGGGTCTGTTTGGTATAGCTCCAACTCCTAAATTTAGTTCCAGAAATTGGGTCTGGAGTGGAGTTGTGGAAATGACTCTAGTTTATTTTGTGAGAGAGCTCCACCCAACTCCACTCCTAGTTTACTCCACTCCTAGTTTTGGTGGAGCTGAAACTATTTGACCGAGCTCCAGCTCCAGGAGGGGTGGAGCTGGAGCTGTGCCAAACAAGCCCTTAGACTTCACGTGGAACTCCTGTAAAATTTCTAGTTCTGATGTCTACTGTATGGATTGAGCTTCCTTTTGGAATACATGATTGCTGTAGCAAATATGAAATTTGCACAGATCCCACAAGAAGTCCTCCAAAGGAGGCCTAGAAAGCAAACATTTGAATGGTCAAAACAACCGGGATAACATATGGCTACTGCCATGTAGAGATTATTGTAAGCTTACAAAAATTCCAATATATGTTCGGTACACCATAGAAAACATTACTGAGGCTAACTGTGACAAGATGGGAGATGAAAATATATAGAGGATGAACTTAAAACAATCACTAACTTCTAAATACCCAACTCAAGAGATAGAAGTTCACAGTGCCAACCCAACTATACACTGTTGCTAGCTTTAGGCCACTGAGAAAATGGTAGAAACTCATAAAACGTTATCTTTTTCCAATGCAAATGGTTCGTTCGACCGAATCGAAGACTCGGTCGGATTCACTGGCATGAGACGACAATTTAACTCTCCTCCCCTCAGACAAGCAGTACTGATGCTTTTGGTGAAAGAGGCATGGGGGGCCTTGAGACCGCGAAGCAGTAAGTGTTAGGGGACTGAAGCTAACAACTGCATCCCCCAGCCTGTGCCTGAGACTGGGATGAGTTGGCGTTGCTTGACTTCAAGTTCACATCAACCATGTCTTCCTGCTTTGCTGATGAGAGGGTCTCCATTCCAGGAAGTGCAGCCGCAATCTTACGGAACAACGCCTGATCAGCATGAGAAAAAATGTCAGAACAAATTATCCCCATGTAACCCATAAATAATTCAGATTTCAGCATCTCCCAAATAAAAGAACACGATTTTGAACTTTCTGAAAATGTGCCAGATCTACACGCGTGCTAATCTCCTGATGTAATACAAAGGATATGCAAGAAATTTATATTTTCCTAAGCACACCTTAATGTTAAAACCAGCTTTAGCACTGGTTTCAATGAACATCACACCGAGATCTTTCGCTTTGCCCTCTCCTTCCTCTATGGAGACTTGCCTGTTGCATGAGAAAGTACATGACTTAAAATTGACAGCAACACTCAACAATATATACATTTTACATAAAAATTTATGGAGATCGATGATATTTAATCTAATGAAGCTAAAGCAGGAAATGAGTCCACCAGCACAAAAGCAACAGCAAGAAATAAGTTATCACATAATATTTAAAATTAAACTGAGAGATTCAAAATGAATGTCAGCTTAAACTATCATGGAAAATAATATTAAAGAGCACAGAAGCTGCAGTCATGAAATATGAAGCTCTGGCCATACACATTTTATTCCAAAAATTCACACCAAAACAAGATTGGCTTTAAGAACTGGCACTGATGCCACAAATTGATGTATCTTAATCGCCAATGCCACAACAAGTGGTGCCTAAAAAATGGAAATTGCCACGATAATTTGGAATTATAGCAAGGTCTGACTTTTTTAGGGACCTGACAGAAATTTTCCTGAATCACACATGTTGTGGTTATCTGTTTAGCGATAAATGAAACAAGGAAATATCTAGAATTAAACAGACTTTTAGACACATGTGAGCCTACAGTTTGTAGTTCATAACAATGCCAATAACAAGTGGGCATAGGTCAACATTTTATCATACACTCACATTACATGGCATTGTTTTGAATCACAAACCTTGAGCTTGATCCAACTAAAATTATAAGGTAGTGAGTTTTGTGCTAAATTATCGTACTGTTCAATCATCGCGTAATAACTGCATATCAAAAGTAAATATACAGTTCTATCTTACATAATAAGATTGCATTGTTTGGTAAACACCATAAAATCAAAGACATCTAGAGAAATAAATTTGACATCATATAGAAATATTGGTTGGGAACCCAACTAAAAAAATTAAGGCAGCAGGTATTGCACTTAATTTTACTCTACTAACCCTGGTAGAATGCATTTCTAGAAATCATAATTCAGTAATGTCTTACATGAGACAAATAAATGAAATGTTTGGTAAACACCAGTACACCACTAACAGTAACACATAAAGCATATGGTGAACAAAATCTGACATCATACAGAAACAAGGGCATTCAAATGAAACTGCTGCAAAATAAAATTCACCAAGTAAAATCCAGAAGGTAAAGAGGATCATTATTAACAGCAAAATCATCAGATAAGCAAGATAACAGGAAAGGGCTAAAGAAAACAAGAATTTTTTTGAACTCCACTCACCTCTTGTCAACAAGATCAGTTTTGTTCCCAACCAGCACAATGATAACATCACTGCCCCTCTCAGTTCTAACTTCCTCTATCCATTTTGAAGTGTTTAGGAAAGACTGTCTGCCTACAGCATGTAAAACAAATTTAAGGAAAAAGGAGGCAGGATAGGAAAGAGCTTTTATAATGCAAAACGAATTAAAAATGACATTGCTATTAAAAATCATAATTTGTTGACATGTGCCATCAAATTTGCTTGGCAATTCTCTGTTGGTCTGCTGCATTGTTGCTAGTATAAAAGCAGTTAGTGAGAACACACATGCCACCCATGTGCGCACATGGAGATGAGAGAACATACTTGCAACATCAAATACGATGACAGCAACGGAAGAGTCTCTGATATAGCTTGGAATCAAACTCCTGAATCGTTCCTGACCAGCTGTATCCCTGCAGAAAAAAAAATACAAAATGCATAAGATAATGCCTGCCGATTCCCAAGGAGTAGAACAACTAACTGGAAATGCAGCAAAAGATGCCATCATACCAAAGTTGCAGTCTGACAGTCCTATCTTCAAGGTACATTGTCTTTGACAGGAAGTCAATACCGATTGTAGCCTGTTCGCAAAATAGAATAAATCATGAGAACATAACGACCAGATAAGATAAGTATTAAAACTGAAACATTTTAAGATAAGTATTAAAACTGAAACATTGCAGTGACATATAATGCTCAAAATAAGCGTGCAATAGTATAATGACAGCATCATCATTCCCACCATCATACAGAATAGAAATAGCCCTCGTGAGGAAGGACATCTTTTCGATGTATCAAAAGGCGTCCAGACACCATTCCGAATACGGATGTCTCAATGTGGTACAATAATGTGAAAACAGATGATCCCCAATCTTGTCTACAGCATGGCATAAGTGCGCCGGTCACAAGGCATGTGCAATCTAGCAGAGAAAAATTGCAATCCCAGATCCCAAACGAATTCCACAATGCCCTGTAGCTGAAGAAAAACCACATTCACAAGGCTCATGTTCCCTGCTTTCCAATCCCAAGTTCAATATCCAAAGACCACATTCTGAATGCAGCAGCCCATTCTCGTTGAAATTGCCTACTGTTAAGCTCCCTGTAAATCTGTAAATTTGTATCATGGGGCTGCACTTGGATCCCGCCATGCCATCGATCGAGGCTTAATTGCTCGCTCTCCTCAAGGCCGCCGAGATCACGCCTTGCTTGACACCATCACATCACCCGCGCACACGAGATACTGCTGATTCAACTTCACTAGCAGAGAGGATCACGTCCAAATAATCAACAAGACCAAAACCACCACCGCCACGGGACCGAGTCAGCGGCCAACCCACGACACAGATCCAATCCCAACCGCCTCTCCTCCAGATCGGCCGGCCGGCCGGCCAGGGCGCCACCGCCGGATCTGGCCCCCGATCAGATCCAACCCCAACCCCCCGAAGAGAGGCGAGCAGACGGCGAAACCGATAGAGAAGAAGAACGCACCTGGTAGGTGTTGTCGAACTTGTCGTACATGAAGCGGGTGATGATGCTGGTCTTGCCGACGGACTGGTCGCCGAGGAACACCAGCTTGTACTTGGCGAGCGCCGACACGGGGGCCATCTCGTGCCTCCTCTTCTTCTCCTTCTCCTTCTCCTTCCTCCCTTCTCCGGCCGGCGACGGCGGCGGCGGCGAGGCGGGCTAGGTCGGATCGGATCGGGGCGGGGCGGGATCCGGCGGGGCGGATCGGGAGAGGGGGGGCGGAGAGGGGATCTCGCGCGTTATGGGGGGGTGGTGGGTGCGTTTGTGCCCCGCGGACGGACGGAAGGAAGGAAGACCGAGCGATGCGCTCCGCTTCTCCTCTTCTCGTCTCGTCGTATGGGCGTTGTTTGGCTCCGAGATTGGTGCCTGACTGCCTGCCGGTTATTACCACCGCCCGCCCCGCCAAGCAGAGAAGGAGGCCCCTTTTTTTTTTAATCGGAGCGAAGCCTGCTTCGTTTGGCGTTTGGAGTTTGGACGTGGGTGGGCTGGAGGGAGCGCAAAATGTTCCAGCTGTTTCGCTTTCATTTTCAGAAAAAATAAAAATATATTTCATCTTACATAACCTTTATAAATAAAGTCATAGGCTCGCAGCCACGGTTGTGTTTGTTATGCCAGCCATAACAGTCGTAGCCACAGTAACTATATTGGATCGCTTCCTACGAAGATGTAGTTAAACATTTCATCATAAATCATTTTTTCGGACTTAGCACTTCCTACCACCAAAGCTAGCAATGCAGCTCTCTAGGCACTCTTTTAGATACAACTAGAGGTAGAAAAAGCATATCTCGGGAGTGAGGGTTAGCAGTATTCGCGACAATAGGTGTGTCTTCAATCAAAACTGATTTGGATTTGTAACAGTGAAGGCAACTTGGTATACCACTTATGGGTATTAGAGTTGCATTGACAGCATCGAGTATGCCTCATCTTCTCACCCATTGAGACATTGCTCCAATCAAACATCCTATATGATGACATCATTGTCACTGCACGTCTTTCTTTAGTTGCATTTGAGGCAAGTGAGAGATGGAGCGTTGTTGGAAGTGAGAGATGGAGCGTTGTTGAAGGGATGTTAGGAAGACGATGGCTATCATAAAAATCAACAGAGGATCCCCAGGAAAGAAGGGAGAATGCTGAGAAGACAATGGCATGTTGGTATATTTTGGTTTTTTAATGGCACACTTAGAAGCATAAACATCACACCGCCATTATCCAAACTACAATGTTTTATAGTGCAATGTATACTTTTTCTGTAACTGTTGCCATGAGCATGTGAAGTAAATAGTATGAGATAATACACACAACTTAATTATATGGGTTTCACATAATATAATGATAATAATTAGGAATATGTATAGGTTTCCAAGTTGAATGGTAGAATAGATAGATATTGGTCTTGGTAGGATTCCTGCTTCCTACTAGTTTTGGTCATTGTCGTTGTGTGGCACGTGTTCCTTTTTTCTTTTTCTTGTGTTGCACCTTAATGCATCTTTCACCACTTCGCTCGATTGTTGACTGCTTAAGTTATGTAATTATTTTCCTTTTGATTCTAATGCTTTTTCATTGCATGCAGCTGCCGATAGATTCGTTAAAACCTATTGTCGCTAACATGGTTCTCTTATGGTGCCTAACAAAGTGATAGATTTGAATGCATCATCAGCTATTTCTATTCTTGCTCGCTGAATGGCTTCTCAAGGATATATGCCACCCACCTCTTGTGTGTTGTCTTTCTTTGTTTGGCTATACCCATGAACGTGTTGATCTCTTATTTCTTCTTTCTTCCTTTGCTGATAACCTGACACTTGGTTTTGTTATGCACGTAAGTGTTGTCTATTGGCCATGCTTTGCAGCTCGACAACACCAGTCACACACGATCACGAGTCCTTCCACCACGGCACCATTAGCCAGATTGTGGTGAACTCATTTCTCGCCACCAACAACCATGTTAGTCGTAAAAAATGCATTACCCTTATTTTATTGATATATTCATACATAAGCTTTACTTATTGTATTCTCGAGCATGGTTGCCCTAATAATTTATATACCTTTTCCCTTTAGGTGTGACTCAAACGTGCCTCTCACCATGATAACCCTTTGAAAAGACCAAGACAACTCCGGCCTATGTTGACAGCCCCTATCCAACTAGATCCATCTTTCGTAAATGTTAAGTAAAGGAAGAAAGATACTCTACAGACATAAGGGTAAAGACACTCCTAGACGTAATAATAGTTAGATCTTTGAGGGAAGACACTTTCAAAATATGATAATTTGCTACCGATATTTGCAAATATTTAATTTTGGTTGACTAAGAGAGAGAAATAACACGAAAAGTCAAAACCACCGTAGACCCACGCATATTCTTCCTCTTGCTCTCTATTTTTCCTTTTCTCCTAGTGTGAACAATACTTGACTTGGGATGGGCGAGGGCTCGATTTCCACCTGCTACACCAAGCTACGAGCACCTCCTCATGCCCATCAACTTCGTCCTAGTCAACAAGCTTGGCCTCGGCATACGTGGTGTCGCGCTCGGCATGGACGCACGGTCTACACTAACCTCCTCAACCGCTTGCAGCTTGCTGTTCATTTGCAGCATACGTGAGCCTCTTAGGAATGTATGGCCATGACGATGACAACAATAAAGCAAAGGGGCGTTTGTGTCGTCGAGGAGAAGTACGACGACGTCAAGGAGTGCTGGAACGCGTGCGCCCCATGGTGTGTGTCGTGTCGGCCTCAATACTGGCATGGTACGATAGCGCACGACCAGAGAAGGCGGCGAGGTAGTACCGATACGTGTGGTGTGGAGCAGGAACACAATGACCGAACAAGCCAAGACATGCAGAGGATTCCTCGCTGTTGTCACCTTTTGCTTTCTTTGTTGCCGCTAGCTATAGCTATGTGTTTGTTGATTTTACTCCATGAAGAAGAGTTGCAGCCACTTGCCTCGATGCTTTACTTTATCTGCGCATCACCATTCACTGCATTTTGAAGTGGATGAAAATCTCCGTAGTATGTTTGTACCGAGGAGGAGGCAACCAAAATGCTAAGGGCATGAGTTTGGGCCCTGTGCATTTCTGTCTTTTGCCTTTTTTTCTCTATGCTATTATATTGAAAATGAATATTTTAATACATGTTGTGTGGAACAAATATTCATATTTTGAAAGTGTCTTTTCTAAAGATCGACTTTTATCTTGTCCATAAAATATTGTAACAAAAGTAGCTTGTTTTCGTGATATATTTTGTTGTAAAAGTAAACTCACCTTCGATGGAATATCTTGATGATAGCCAAATTTAGCAAATATGTAATTAGGTTCTTAATTGTTGTTTTCCAAAAAAAAAGGAAAAGAAAAAAAACAATGTTGTTTAGGGGGAATTTAACTATTTGCGACTATGAGGTTTGGCAAATATCCTTATTAGGTTTGCACTTGCAAAATTTCCACTGGAGAAAGATGGTTTCTTAATTATTTACCACTTTTACCTACGTGGTGTGCCACTATGACTTGCCAGCATGGATCCCACGAGTCACCCCCTTCCTTCTCCTTCTTCTCCCCGGCCGGTGAAGGAGCCTGACTGCCTGAGCCATCATTCGTCCTCCGATCCCGCACCGCCATCTACGATCAATCTGTCCATCGACGATGCAGACAAGGTTGACTTAGAGCTGAACCTCATAATCGAATGAGACGGGTTGTTTTTACATAAGAATAGCTTGTCAGAATCCTTTATCCTTGCTAGGTGTGCCATCAGTAGAGTCGCCATGGGGACACAACGACGATGGAGGGAGAAGCAACTCGTGCTCCATCATTGGATGGTGGAGAAGAATAAAAATGAAGAGGCTGACTCATGGGACCCACGCTGCTTTCTATGCTGGTAAGACACAGTGGTAAATAGTTATAAGAAATTATCTCTCACCAGTGATAATTTTATGGGTTAATTGGATCCATGCCACTGCAAATGTGGCAAATTAAAAAAATACAACTACTATTCATCATATTGGAGTACATGCCACTAGAATTTAAATAAATTAGAACCATGCCACTCCGTCACGATCTATGTCATCTCCGTCGCATCACCGTCTCCGTTCCCGTCCTCATCCCTATCCCTCAACCGCTGTCTTCCTCGTTGCTCCATTCTCCTCCCTCGCCGATGAGCTCAAGCTCACAGCAGCCGGCCTCGCTAGGGGATGCGAGCAACGAGGCGTGGCATTAGGCCCCTCGAGCTCCGCCGCCTTTCCTTGTAGCCGGTGGTGGTCTCCTTATCCCCTTCCCCTACCACCTCCTCTCTCTCTACCCCCTTCCTTGTCGACGAGCTTGAGCTCGCAGCAGCCGACCTCACAAGAGACGAGAGCAAAACGAAACACGTATTATTGTATGATTAATTTAGTATTAACTAGTTCTTTTTGAAAAATAGATTAATATGTTTTTTAAACAATTTTTTATAGAATTTTTTTTAAAAAAATATACTCCCTCCATCTACTTTTGATAGTCATATTTCCAAATCTAAAATTTTTATTTTTGATAGGCATATTTCAATCCAACAACTTATCCTCTTACTGACTTTCTCGAATTTAATGTGTGATTCTCTATTCTTCCACATAAGATTGGCTATATGGACATCGAAAAATATAAATATTAATAAATCGCTTGTTTACGAGGAATGACTAGTCTCAGACCGTGTCGCATATAATGGCAATGCATCGTACGGTTCGTGTCGCCCTCACGTATGTGCTGCCTCCTCCTCTCCTGCGTATGCACCACCCCCGTCTTATGGGCTAGCGAATTGCCGGCTAATGAATGCGCCATCTGAAGTGAGAAAAAAGAAGTCCACATTTGAACGAGTAATCCCGGCAGATCTCCGCCCCATCTCAGGCCACGCCTGGTCCCGGCCGCGACTGACTGACCTGGACCTGCCACCCACGCGCCGTACCAACGCAAAAGCTCAGATCAACCGAACCGGCACCGGAATAGTCGTCCGTCCCCGCGGGGAGAGTCGCACGCACGGCCCGGCCTCTCGCGTCGCGGTGTCGGCGCCTCGTCGCGCAGACCGCAACCGCGCAGCTAGAGCAGATCCCCCCGCCGCGCCGCGTCGTCTCGCTCTCATCTCCTCCCCCAAAAAGCCGGAAGAGAGAGAGAGAGAGAGAGAGAGAGAGAGAATAATTCGAACGCGGCATCGCGCTGGTGAGTGTGAGAGTGAGATCGATGGCGGCGGCGTCCATCTCGCGGAGCCTCCTCCGCCGATCCCGCTGCGGCGGCGGGGAGCACCACCTCCTCCTGCTGGCGCGCGGCTTCGTCACGGCGGAGTGCCACCGCCCCGTCGTGCTCCACAAGCGCGGCTCCGACATCCTCCACGACCCATGGTTCAACCGGGTACGCACGCTCTCGTCTCGCTCGCGTTCCGCCCTCGTGTTCTTCCCTCGCGGCGGCGCGAGAGCGTTCTGATGCGTGTGGGTGGTTTTGGCTGTGTGGCTTTCCTGCAGGGCACGGGGTTCTCGATGACGGAGAGGGACCGCCTCGGCCTCCGCGGCCTGCTCCCGCCCAACGTCGTCTCCTCCCAGCAGCAGATCGACCGATTCAGTACGCGGCACCCGCGCCCCCCCCCCCTCTCTCTCTCTCTTCCATCCTTAAATTTGTTTTGGATTTTTCGTTGCTGCTTGAATCGTCATGGGTCGAATCGAATTGGGATTGTTTTTTTTTTTCTTTTTTCAGCTAGGAATTGTGCCTGATTGGCCACGTCCAAACTGTAAATTGACTAGGTGCCTAATTGAGCTTTAGAATGAGTTAGCTTACCTACCTATAATTGACAGCAGGCACTGGAGTAAGTGAGTGAGTGAATGACTGTGTGTCTGACTGTCTGTATGTGCGCATGCATCAATTGTAGAACCGTCAGATAGAATTTCTGTTTGATCTGTGCGATTGGACATGGTATAATCCAGCTTCTAGGAGAAAGTTTCAATCGTCATTTATTTAGTCACGTTTGATCTGGACTAAAAAAAGTCCCTTCACAAAAGGTGGATCGTCCTTTCTGGGCCAACCAACTTGAGTAGACAACTGCACATTTAGAATTATGCTCACAAACTTCAATCGGAAAAAGACTGCCCAAACATCCACACACTTGCACAGCACCAACTCTGAAGTATCAGTACAAGTTCCACTCAGAGATACAGCATATAGATGCAAAGGGTTTAGCACTAAATTACCTGAACATTTCACCAGCTATCTGTGAATCATCACAATACTGCGTGAATGCTGATGTGAGCGGTTCATTTACTTCTTTTTTTGTTTCACTTTTATAACAGTGCTTGACATGCAACGGCTGCAGAAATATGCGAGAGATGGCCCATCGGATACTTACCCGTTAGCAAAATGGCGTATCCTTAACAGGCTGCATGACAGAAATGAAACAATGTATTACAAGGTTTGTAACTTTACAACTCATACATTTGTGTGCAACCTTATTTCTATTGATCATGTATGCTCTCACCATTTAATACGCACAATTTGGACTGTTTACGGGACACTGTATGATTACACATGTTCGTTGCTAACTTCGTTTCTACTATAATCTCAATTGTTGTTAACTTTAGCAGGCTGAGGTGTGCCTTTTCAAAGTGGTTACCTGATTTCCATATTTTTTTCATCTTTTTAATAGGTCTTAATAGATAATATTGAGGAACATGCACCTATTGTTTACACGCCGACTGTTGGACTTGTTTGTCAAAACTATAGTGGTTTATTTAGACGGCCTCGGGGAATGTATTTTAGTGCAGAAGATCGTGGGGAAATGATGTCCATGGTGTACAACTGGCCAGCTGACCAGGTACTCATTTGTGTTCATCCAGTTACTGATTTTACATTTAGCAGCTGAGCTCTTTCATTGGTTTAATCTTTAGTGGTATAATTCAGTAACGCTATCTCAGAGCATAAGACAGTCTACCTTTTGCTTTTGATTTTTGAACATCTCTCAAGAAAAAAAATGTCATATAATCTCAAAGTAAATAAAATATGTCCGTTCCTTTGCAGGTTGACATGATAGTAGTGACTGATGGAAGCAGGATATTGGGCCTGGGTGATCTCGGGGTGCATGGTATTGGTATTGCCATTGGAAAGTTGGATCTATATGTTGCTGCTGCTGGAATAAATCCCCAGAGGGTAAAAACTTTTGGTTTATGGTACCTTAGAAGATTGTTAGACTCTTCCCTTTCTCCCTCTTCTAATTTTACATCTCCCGTGCTTTTTTGTAATGACTTTTGTTGCAGGAGTTAATCAGCTAAACTAAGAAAGTATAGTGAAGCTTGTTTGCTGAAGAGGTTAAAAAAACTATTAGTGGATGCTAAAAATACAGTTTCATATGTATCATCTATAGGGATTTCGTTTGATCAGTAATGATGGTCCTGCTACTTATGTGATAATGTGTCAGTTAGGCCCATTTTATTATAGATTGGGGAGATAAAATACCTGCTAGAGTTTTACTATCTCGACTCATTTCTGGACACAGCTAAAATGAAATATGTTACTAAAGTGTGAATTCATAGGGTCGGAAAAATAACAAAGCTTCAAATTAAGATACATTGACTTAAATTACTGTACCTTAGCAAAAGTGGTACCAATGCCTAGTGCTTAAATGTTATGGATTCTATAAGTACTCTACTGCTATTCATTTCTTGTTGTTTGCCTACTGCTCATGTGGCTAGCAGAATTTATATTTACCATTGATTTAAAACTGTCTTCACTTTTTTTCTAGGTTCTTCCGGTCATGATTGATGTGGGAACAAACAATGAGAAGCTCCTCAAGGATCCTCTGTGTAAGTTGTTCTTAAAATATTTCTGTGTTGTATAATTTGAAGTAGTTTAATTTGTAATTAAGCTTCTAATTATCACATATTTTTCATATCAAACACACAGTTAGCCTCTATTCTCTAAAGCAAATGAAGACACTTGTAATTTGTAAACATGTGTTTACTTGTAATATTTAACAGCCCGTGAGAATGGATAGCTTTTTCGCCCCTAAGAATTATTCTAGACAGTTTTTTATGTTAATCTTTTATAAACCATACAGATCTTGGGTTACAAGAACATCGTCTGGAGGGGGAAGAATATGTAGCGATTATCGATGAATTTATGGAAGCGGTTTTCGCTCGCTGGCCGAATGTTATTGTACAGGTTCTCTTCTGATTTTAGTGTTACTTTGGACTTGCCTTTGTTGTTACATGTGGCTTTAGCTAGAATATTTTTTTCTGATGCTTTTCTCTCTCTTTTTTTTCATAGTTTGAAGATTTCCAGAGCAAGTGGGCCTTCAGGTTGTTGCAGCGTTACAGGAAGACTTATCGGATGTTTAATGATGACGTTCAGGTATTTTGTTTTTGAAAAGTTGCAGGTTTCTCATTATATTACTCTTCTACTATGATATTTATACATTTGCTTGCTATATCATATAATGACAACTCCACATGGCTCCTATTGTTCGTAGTATGTGACTTACAAATATCCATAGAAGTTCATTTGTTGGTTTTCCATGGATAACCTTTGAACGTGTATGAGATAATTTCCACATATGTCTGTTATGCATGCTGAGCACTAGTAACTTATACTGACTATGCTCACAGAAGACACATGCTGTGCCTTGCAATACCATCTCCAGTTATATTGTATTGGCAACATATCTTCATGTTCAAACACTTCCAGTGCAATACATGTCTGAGGTTTCGGCTTTTGAGCATTTACTGTGGATATAGGAAACTGTTCATCTAGGTAGTAATGTCCCCTTCATGAAATATCTATTAGCCAGAAATCTAGTTAGATGTATTGCCTTCACGAATTATATATATCATACTCCCTCCATTTCACAATTTAAGTCATTCTAGCATTTCCCACATTCATATTGATGCTAATGAATCTAGACATATATACTTATCTAGATTCATTAGCATCAATATGAATGTGGGAAATGCTAGAATGACTTAAATTGTGAAACGGAGGAAGTAGTAAAAGTTGTCACCTTCAAAATGACCATTTTCTAATTTCTATGTACAAAGGGAACTGCTGGCGTTGCTATAGCTGGTCTCTTAGGAGCTGTAAGAGCACAAGGAAGGCCAATGTTAGATTTCCCAAAGCAAAAGATTGTTGTTGCAGGGGCTGGCAGGTTCGGAATATGTCCAATTCTTTTTAACTCAGTACAAAATTGAGTCATTATTATGTCTAGTAATGTGTGCTTCGGACTTTCAGTTCTAAAAGAATCTAGGAAGTGTGAGCAATGTCAGAATTACACTTTTGTGTACAACTGTATAGTTTGAACATGACACATGCTGAGTTATACTTTTTGAGATTTTACATCATTGCATGAACTATTCAGAACCTTTGTTGGCAGGTAGACCATTTTGTTTAATTGCTAACATTATTTTATGGGTTTGTTTTATTCTTGGTTGTTTGCTAACTCGTTGTGAAGAATTCCACGCATATCGTTCTGGTTTATTTTTTATCGGCTGTTTTGTTCCTAAAATCCTAGCAGTGTACTATCATGTACTAACCCTTGTATTACTGGAACTTGACTCTGGTCAATTACAGATCAACGCACTATCACTAGCTTTAACCAGGTCCGTTTCAAAAGCATGACTTTATTGCATTTCACATTTTGTAGTGCTGGGATTGGTGTTGTGAATGCTGCAAGCCGGACTATGGCAAGGATGCTGGGAAACAATGAGGTTGCTTTTGAGAGTGCCAGGAGTCAATTCTGGATAGTCGATGCCCATGTGAGTCATGCATCTAAGATTCTTGTGATACATTCTGGTAGTTTTTTGTAATATTTTTTGTCTTATCTTACTGTTTAACAGAGGGAGTTGGGGGCGATGGTAGAACTGTAGAATCATCTCCACTTTAGATATTTTGTGGCTGCAAATATGCATAGATATGTTTGTTATTTGTAAGATTTTTTTTAGGTAAAATATTGCATCTTTGCATGCATACAATATATTTTGTTGGATTTGTTGCAATTTGCAGACATGATATTCTTTTTTCTTATAAAAAGTGGAACTGGGGGTGTCGGTAGGTTCTACACTTCTACAACACTCCTCACTCCGGAGGATTATCTATGGCTGTATATGCATAATCATGTATGCATCGTTTACAAGTTCTTTTTAAAAAAGAAAATGTCATTCTTTGCACATGTGGATATATAGATGTTTATTAAATGATTTCATGTGGTCATGCACAAAATAAATTGGAGGACAATATTATGATATTTTTATTATTGATCGCATAGCATGTTCTTCTTTCCTGCTTGGCCATACTCTTATCAAAACATGCTCATAATCTCGTCTGTGTTTTCGGTTCAGGGTCTAATAACAGAGGAGCGCACAAACATTGACCCAGATGCACGGCCTTTTGCTAGGAGAAAGAGTGAACTAGGTCACCAAGGCCTAAGTGAAGGGGCGAGCTTGGTTGAAGTGGTACGTGCCTGAACTTCTGTCCTTCCACAAAACATGGACTGTTATATACATGATACATTGTTGTAGTTTGTAATATGTGAAGGGACATGTCTCTGAAAAAATGTAAAATTGAGGCACCAAGTAGTTATCTTCTACAAATTACCAGGTTTAGGAAATACTTTCACATAACACCAGGTATATTGCAAATTTGTTGTGAAAAGCACTAGATTCTGCTTTTTTTATTGCACGTAACGGGGTTACTGCAAGCAGACCCCACATGTTGTGTTGGAGAGATTTGGTGGACAAATAATTGACTTTTAACTTAATCACTTATGACAAATTTCATTCTCAATTCATACAGCTAATTCTATTTATTGACATTTAATTACATTATTAATGTAAAATTCAGCTCAGGAAAGAATAAGATTAGACTTATGCTAAGCCTTTTTGTATTAAACCTTGCCTATTGACCAGGTTAAAAAGGTGAAGCCTGATGTCATACTTGGATTATCTGCTGTTGGTGGTTTGTTCTCAAAGGAGGTATGTGATCCTAAAATAACTATCCTGTATGGCAGTTTCAGTTCAGTGCTAATTCGAAACCATTTACCTTGAAGTCATCTTGTTATTGTTTTCTATATTATTTCATTCACTAGCATTGGCATTACAATTTGGTTAAATAAGGTAAATGAGCTACAGACCTACAGTACTACTAGACAGGCTCATCACAGTCACCAATTATTTATCTTTTGAAATAAGTTTCCCAGACAATCATTCCTATGGTGGTGTTACTAGTTAGTTTCAATGGGCTTTTTTGATCCTATTCTTTTCTCAAGATACCCGTGGATCATTACTAATCATGTTGCATGATTGCATCCGCCTTTTAAATTCTTGCGAAACTGTAGAAAAATGACACGTACACTAATTGTGGTTGCTCGTTTCTTCAGGTTTTAGAAGCATTAAAAGACTCATCCTCTTCAAGACCAGCAATTTTCGCGATGTCAAATCCAACTAAGAATGGTTTGTGCAGTTGTGTTTTACCACAAAGTTCATTATTTTCTGCATGCCATCTAATGGACTAATCATGTGTTGGTTCCATATTACAGCTGAATGTACACCTGAAGAAGCCTTTTCAATTCTTGGTGAAAAGATCATCTTTGCCAGTGGAAGCCCATTTAGTGATGTGGATCTTGGTATTTTGTTTACTCGTGTACAGTACAGCTGTGCATTTTTTTTTCTTTACACTTTTAAGCAGCTGAGACTTGCTTTCACTTTCTATTTCACCAGTTACTTGTGCTTGGCATCAGCTATAGAATGCAAATAATAAAATGCTGCAATAATTTACTGCAAATTTATGATTTGCAAAGTAATGAATTTGTAGAATGCTACTCAATATGCAGCTATTAATGTTTCGTTGCAGGTAATGGAAAGATTGGCCACTCAAATCAAGGGAATAACATGTATCTCTTTCCTGGGTTAGTTTTGTTACAGTTATACACTAAGCTATTGAATTTTGTTCTGAGGGCTGAGATTTTCGTTCAAATTATGATTTCATTCGACTTATTTCTCTATCGTACAGAATAGGGCTTGGAACCCTTCTATCTGGAGCACGGGTTATCTCAGACGGAATGCTTCAGGCTGCAGCTGAACGGTGTGTACCTTGACCTCTACTAACCATCATGTCTGTAAAGCACAATTGAACTATTTATTTTATCTTTAATTTATGATTTATCATGAAAATTTTTTTAGCTTGGCTTCGTATATGAAAGAAGAGGAAGTTCTCGAAGGGATAGTATACCCTCCAATCTCCAGGTTCTATTTCTAAATCAGAAGTTCAGTAGTATTTTGCTATATGTTATGCCTTCTGATATACAACTATATATGTAGAATACGTGATATCACCAAGGAGGTGGCAGCAGCAGTTGTGAAGGAAGCTGTTGCAGAGGATCTAGCTGAGGGATATCGTGACATGGATGCACGTGAACTTGCAAGACTCAGTGAGGTGGTTAATCTATTTACTATCTATAAACAAGGCTCATTGTTATGGTTTTTCTTTTGTTTGTAACTTTGAACTCTTTGTGTTACAGGAAGAAACAGTTGAGTATGTCCAGCAGAACATGTGGAGTCCAGTTTATCCAACAATAGTGTACAAGAAAGACTAGAGCTTTAATGTCCACGTATTCTATTGCTCATGCCCAATTCTCTGAAGGCTGCAGTTTGTATCTTTCAAAATACTGGCGCTTCTGTTATGAGAATCCAATATATTGTTTTCATGCAACGTCAAGTGTTAGTACACAATATTGTCTTGATTTTAAAATGGATCTAATACTGTTTGGAAGTGTATAGTAGGCTCCCTAGGTCGAATGTCGACTTTGCATTTTATATCCACAACTATTAGGTGCGCAACAATTGGGACCTGTGTGCCAATTCTACACAGATGACTATAACTTGTATTTATGTTTGAACACATCAATCAATAGAAGCCTCAGGTTTACTGGTGGCAGTCTGTTCTTGCTGCCGTCACTGTTATTTTCTTGTTGGTTAACTTATGTTTATGTTTGAACACATCATGTGATGGTTACCCCTTTATTGGCATATATTTTTCCCACGTCACTGTTATTTTTGTATTAGAACTTTACTTGCCTTTATTGTTTGTAAGATTTGAGGTACAAGTTCTAGCATATATTCACGGCCTGATCCTCACCAGCAGTTTAACCATATTCTATCTTCAGTATTTTGCAATTTGCAGCTATGGCTACCTACTACAAGTGCCCATCCTTGTCCATGGTGAATGGAGGCATAGCTTTACTTCTGATCATTGTTGCTCTCCTAATCGTGGAACTACATCTGCGCAACTGATGGCGTGAGATGCGGGTACTCCTTCCAAGTACGCTACTTTGCAGATCTTTTTCCTGTTCAAAATAGAAATCCTTCATGATATCCACTACAAGGGTGTAAGGCTCCTGGAAAGCTGAGAGTTAGTGCAATCCATGTCAGCTATGATGCGATCAACATGGAACCTTGTGGTTGTGGCCCAGTAGGTATATCTCCTTCCTGGTAGCAGCCAGCGTGGTATGTTGCCTACCTTAGTTCATAATATCAGTCTGCACATGTCAAAAATTATGATCTGGTTCAAACTTGGGTTGTTTTAGGTGAATTGAGACTCGGGGTCAAATTTTTACGCTTACGATTATCATTTCATTCATATGTAGTAGTAACCATTTACATGTTAATAATCCAGTCAAATGAATTGCCAACAGATTTAGCTGACCATCAGTTTCACATGAACTGGCAATTAGAGGAAAACTATCGTTTGTTACTGCTACATTCTGTGGCATTGAGGCTTTGGTCCCGGTTTCTTTAACATATCATTTATTCCCTTTTTTTTCTGGAAGATAAATCACACTCTAGTACTGTATAGCATTGATAATATTCCATGTGATGGCACTGGATATTGCTTGTTAATGTCGTGACATGAACAGTGCTAGAAAAAGGTATTCCCCATTTCCCTCGTCTCTTTCAACATCTTGTTGGTAAGAAAGCACTCAGCCTTTTCAAAGGGGGCGATGGCTTGAACAATTTGCTGTTTAGTTCCTTCACTACTCCAATCTTGGTCAATTTTCTTCCTCCATGTCTCCAGTTGAATCCTCCCTCGGTCCTCTCTTCATAATCCTTGAAATTTCTTGATTCTTCATTTTTTGTTGACAATGCCACTAATATATGTTAGGCAGCTGCAAGATGCAATTTTACGGTAGATTTACAGCATTGCAATTTTTGCTTAGCTGCTGCATTACTGATTGCAGGTACAGTTAAGTTTTTTTAGGCCCTTGTTTGGACCGCGGAAATTCTATAGGAATTAAATTGGCTAGTTGGTAGTCTTAAAAAAAAATTGGCTAGCTGGTTCACCTGTGGATTTGCAATTATGATGCTTCACAATTCGTCAATCATAGTACTCACTCTATTTATGCCACCCATCTATCTATGACTACGAGCGATCTATCCCTTTTTCTTTTCCCAAAATTATCGAGGACTACAAATTCAAAATTTCATATGTATGGTCCCATGTAAAATACAACCTAACAACCGCGTACCGTGCTGAATTCTTTTGGGAATCCCTGTCAAACCAACGAGATTACAGCTATAAGCCACCCGGCTACAACTTACGGTAGCGACTGTCATTTTTTTGCCCTTTACCACGAAGGATTATGACGTTATGATCATGCGATCCAAATAAAAGATGCAGCACAAATATTAAAGCATTCCAATTTGTACGATGTATGTTTCAAAAAAACAATCAAACAAAAATACATATACATGCAGTATATTACATACATATAACACAGTCACATAACACTATCATATATACTTCCGTCCCAAAACGTAGCTACCTAGTACATGATGTGACATTATCTGTTACTACGATTCTGGACAGCAAATAATGTCACATCCTGTGCTAGGTAGCTCCATTTTGTGACGAAGGAAGTACCCTATTAAGAAAATATTAGGAACGACTTATGAATGAATGTGACATGTATAACGAAAAAAAAAATGTTACAAACTCATCTCAAATTATTAAGATGGTATGTGCCGAACAACTTTTGAAAGCTGGAATGAAATGGACATTTGGAACAAATGGAGTGCCCGTCTATTTGAAGTGCGCAATTGTATGGAATCAATACATGCACAGCTGCACAAGACCAGCCTGTGTGTGTATGTATAGGCGAAGATTCTCTCCCCAGGATGGAATCATGGAAACATGGAATGTAACGTGAATAACAAACACAAACTATTCCGGTACAGAGTTCTCGAAAAAATATATATCTATTACAGCAAGTAGCAATTTTTTTCTCAACAATTGTTAACTGCGAAATTCTAAAACTGCTACTCCTACCTTCAAATCAGTACGGCACTGTTACCAAAACAAGACGCTGAAAACTGAAATGGGAGGGAAAAGGGATATAACTAACTAGAACACAAACAGCAAGTTTCATACACACAAGTACACAACAACAATGTAAAAATGTTCTTGCAATTGAGAAAGCGAAAAAAGTGTAAACACACAACTTGGGGGAACATATTCATCAGAGAGAAGCATTGTCAACAACGGCATTGGCATTCAAAACCAAAAAATAAAAATAAAAATAAAAAATAAAAAAAAATTCCAGCTCGTAAACTCATCAGCAACCTAAGGATAGCAAACAGCCAGGCAATATCAACACTATAAATACATAACAACCTCTGAGGCAAGATCAACATCAAATAGAACTACTTGGCTTGTTTCACCTCTCCTATTGCATGCACCGCATCTCTTAAGGCTTTGTACGCGTCTCCACGGTCCAAACCACCAATGGCTCAGCTGCTTCGTCGGCATCTCCCAGTCATACTTTCTCTCATCTTGTTCCTCTCTAAGGCTACTGCAGATGCAAACTTCACTGTGTCGAGAGCAGCATATTACCCCAACTCTGATATAAAAGGGACCGAAAGTAAGTACCTTTCAGATAAAATTACTTCAATTGGGTTAGCATACCTCACATGAACCCAAAAAAAGGAAGTTAAATTATACTTAAACTCGGAAATGCATAAAGTTTCTAAGCTAGCTCATAGAAATTGTACTTGTTTCTAATTGTACTTCTAGACGGTGCATGTGAGTATGGCGCATTTGGGGCAACACTCAACAATGGTGATGTTTCAGCTTCAGCAAGCCTCTACAGGGATGGGGTAGGCTGTGGTGCATGCTACCAGGTAATCCATCTGTATGACTAGGCTGTGTGAATCATTAAAAAAAAATCCTTTCATTTTTACCAACAATGCCAATTACCAATAGGTGAGGTGCACGAATCCTTACTATTGCTCTCCAAATGGCGTCACAATTGTGATCACCGACTCTGGGGCGAGTGATGGCACTGATTTCATCCTCAGCCAGCATGCTTTCACCAGGATGGCGCAGAGTACAGATGCTGGTACAGCGCTGCTAACCCTTGGCGTGGTTGGGATTGAGTACAGGAGGTCTGCGCATATAATTAATCTGCCAAAATTCTTGATTGAACGGCATAACTATTTGTTTTCTTAGATGAAAAATAAAATGAAAACTACTATAGAAACAATATCTGCATAAGGAATTATGGACGCATGTGCTGTTACTGACATGTCATGGTTCTGGTTTCCTCTACACTACAGGGTTTCTTGTACCTACCCAAACAAGAATATCGTTTTCAAGATTACTGAGAGCAGCAATTTCCCCAACTATCTTGAATTTGAGATCTGGTACCAGCAAGGCAACCAGGACATCATTGCGGTCCAGCTTTGTGAGGTAAAGTGAAACACTATACAGTAAACAACATAAATTTGTAATTGTAGATGTACAGATCAAGCGCAAAAACATTCGTAGTACTAAATACCTGTTCATGACTTGATGCAGACTGTGAATTTGACATGCCAACTTCTGAGCCGGACTCATGGTGCAGTGTGGGCTGCTGTCTCTCCACCAAGTGGGCCTCTGTCTATAAGGATGTTATTTAGTAGCGGAGCTCCCCGTGGTGGTGACACATGGCTAGTTCCGACGAACATAGTACCCCAGAACTGGACGGCAGGGGCCACATATGATTCTGGGGTCCAAGTACAGCTGCAGTAGCTATATAAAATTAAAAGAAAAATTCTACCAATGCAAATGTATTCATAATATTTCATTATTCCCTTGTTTTCTGGTAATGTATATTCAAAGTATTTGTTGTAATTTGTGAGGCTGTGACTGCCTGCAGATATATCAATAAATTTGAACACGGAAGGATAAGTTGTCATGAGAAATTTATCATCCCTTGTCCCTTTCAATTGCAACGGTCATAAAAAAAACACTACTGCTCTTTTTTCTAATCCAGATAATTGAACAATCATAAAAGGCCATGGCAAAATGCTAAAGCACAGAGACATCAGGATTGGTTATATTTAGCAGAACAGCTACCAAAGTATAATTTGAGAAAGACAGGATCTACAGAATACACTTGCTTGCATCAACATGGTACCAGATAAATACTGTACATAGCCTAGCCATACTCCTGCATTTGACTAACACTACAAAGAACCCACTGGTCAATCCCAATTGTCTGCTGGATTTTACAAACTCATCAACCGTTGAAATCCCCAACAATGATGTCAGACCTAAAAGTTAAGAAACAAGCCAATTATCAGTACTTCCAAAGAAGTACTCATCAACAATAAGAAATTGACACATGGAAACTTAACATAAGCTCTAACATGCAAAAGTCAAGTGTAATAGCCGAAACACTCAGTAGTTTCAGAAGTGCAAACAAGCAACAATGTTAATCCGATATAACAGAAAGTACAAAAAGGAGTTAGCCAGAAAGCACAAAAATACTAAAACTAATAGAGTTAAATTTTCTTGTTGAGAAGAGTTTTTGGACAATTATGCCCAATTAAAAGGAAAAACTTCTCAAATAGTAATATAGCATCATTCCTATACGCATCAAACATCTGAGTGCCCACCATAAACCCATATATACTGGCATATATGTCAGTGGTTGGAGGCATCAAGTACAAATAGCATCTGTGTTATGCTGTTACCAAATCATTTTCCTGAAATAGAGAATTACCAAGACTTACTATTGATTGGACACATGGCATGGGAGTATGGGACTAGATCAGTAGATTAAAAAAAAAAAGAATTTTAATGCTTGAACCCCCAACTCCATAATTATGCCCTTCAGAACCACGAGTACTACTTAACATGTCAAGTTATGGTTCAAGTCATGTACAAATTGCTACATACCACAAAGTACAGTACATTTCTGGCATGTAAAAAGTAATCGAAAATAGCTACATCATACGTACCATAGTAGCCAGTATGGTCTGGACTGCAATTGCTCTGTCAAACCCCCATCAGGCCTACAAGGTCATCACTTCCGTTAAAAACTTGAAATCAGTAATAAATGATTTTGGCAGAAATGTTCAAATTTATACCATTTGTGGTCTGTGGAACTCCTCTTGCTTGTGATGTATGGTCAGGAAGTTGGTTTCCCACAAAAGAAATTGGTTGACTACTTGAAGCAACAACATGATTTCCTATATCAGGATAACCTGTTTGTAAAATATCATCTAGATGCTTCAGAAGAACACTTGATTGACTTTCGATATAAGACGTTGCCTCCTCAGATCTGGCAGCCCTTGAAGCTATCAAGCTAAGAAAACGGCACATAGTACTGAAGCGGACTTCTGAGGCTGAACGCATACTGCTAGATCCACCAGAAGGTTCTTCCCCTATTCTGACAGAACGAGCGTCTTTTCTCCATCTCCTCAAAATGTATTGTTCTGGGAGTTCCTTTATATTCTTGAGATCAAGTACCTTTAGTACATGACAGCACTGAATTCCAACAGATTCAAACTTCCTACAGCTGCACGTAGCTGATCCATCTAGTGCATCAAATTTCACAATGCTCTCTGATGGCTTCTCATCAAGTGTTATTTTATACTCCGAGATTGTGCCAAGTCCACCACATGGGAAGGACATGCAATTCATGTAAGCCTCAAACTCACCCTGGAACATCTTGAAAGCTTCGGGCGTGTATGCACTTGAAGCTTGCTTTAACATTCGCAAGGATGGGATTGGCAATGTCACCTGGCTTCCATCAACATCAGCCTGCAATTTCTTTGACCGATGCTCCTCAAGCATGGTCTCATAGCGCCTTAAGAACTGCAGAATATCTTCTTGCTCACTGAGCTCCCGTTTAATATCATTAATCATATTATCCTTCCTAAGAGTGGTGAGGATATCAGCAGAAAACAAGGCTCTCCAATAAGGCAAAGCCCATTTTTCTTTCTCCAGAAAAAGTTTGTTGAGCCACTCATTCTCACCTACATCATGCTTCTCAATTAGTTTTTCCCATGCTGACAAGAATTCCACCTCATCATCACATTCAAAGAGACAATGGCTTAAAGCATTGGCAAAACTCTTTGAGCCTTCAAATACCTGCTTCAAGTGCCTCTTTGAGTTATGGTAGATATGCCACACACTTGTGCAATGGCTACTTCTTGGCCAAACCTCTGCTGCTGCCATAGCACACTCAGGACGCTCATCAATCAAAACAGTGTCTGGCTGCTTACCACACATTGCATCAGCAAACGCCTTGAATACCCATTTCAATGATTCAATGCTCTCATCATAAAGCAGAGCAGCACCAAACACAAGCATCTGTTTGTGGTTGTCCACACCAACAAACAATGCAAATGGCCTTCCATACCCATTTAACTCATATGTTGTATCAAAGCAAACAACATCACCAAAGCTCCTATAGTCGATCATTGACTCTGCATCAGCCCAGAAGAAATTTGCAGCTGATTTTCCATCAGGCCCCACTCCTACCGCATAATACACTGAAGGGTTCCCTACCTGCAGCTCTTCCAAGTATTCCAGCACTGCTCCAGCATCCCCAAGTTGCACACCTTTCCCATGCTTTCTGCGATGCAGTTCCCCTGCCCCAAGCTCATGAGCTCGAGCCCTCATTTTGTGCGACCGCAGCTTGTGCACACTATCTGGATTGGCAAGTGGATGATTATGCTCCGGAACAAACTTTGCCACCCGGTACGTCCGGCATGGGGTGATCTTGATTACCATTCTTGCCTGGCACCCTGTCCGCGTCGGTGGAGGGCCTGGTCTAGGTGTGCCTGATGGCCCTGTGCTAGCATTGTTGCTGACAATGGCAATACTCTCGTGCTTGGCACGGTCACTAACTCCCTCGCGGGAACAAACAAAGATCCGGGACACGATCACCCCACGCTTTCGCTTCTTGTACGAGCGGCGGACACTGAAGCCCACATGCTCAGCGTACCGGTTGTAGAAAGCATACGCGTCGTCCTCCGTCTCAAAGTGCATATCGGTGCGTGGCCCATCCCTCGGGTCCGGCAGGCTCGCCACGGCAGCGATGGTGTGGTGGGACGAGCTCGGCGGCAGCAATGCCAGCGACACGGCGGGCGCGGCGGAGGCGAGCGGGTGGTTGTGCTCGGTGGCAAAGTCGGTGACTCGGAACGCGTTGGCCGACGGGAGGAGCTTGATGGTGAGCGACGCCAGGCACCCAGTGCGCGAGTCCGGGCACCGCGGAGGCGGGGGCGACGCCGCGGCGGCCTCGTCCTGAGGCGGCTTCTTGGGTTCTTGGCGGAATCCCTGCTTGGAGCAGACGAAGAGGCGGCGGGTGACGGTGTGGCGCGAGTTCTTGGACTTGTTGGACTTGCGGACGACGAAGCCGAGCCTGGCGGCGTACGCCTTGTAGAACTCGTACGCGTCCTCCTCCGTCTCGAAGTACATGCCAATGCGCGGCGAGGTTGGGACGGCTGCGGCGGCGTCGCCATCGCCGCCTGCACCGGAGCCCGAGGCGACGACTTGGTCGACGGGGGCGGGGTCGTCGGAGCCCCCAGCGGCGGCGGCGGAGGAGGACGGGGAGGAGGAGGATTCGGCGTCGCCGGAGGAGGTCGGGGAGGAGTCGCCGGAGAGGGAGGAGGGGTCCGCGGCGGTGGACATGAGAGCGTGAGCTAGGGTTTGGAGGAAGGGAGAAGTGGGGGGAGGGTTTGCGGGGATGGGGATCGGGTGCGGGCGCCGCGGCTGTGGGCGCGCGTGTGTGGGTTCGCAAGGGGAGGATGGTGATGAGTTGAGCAGTGATGCCATTGTTGGTGATGTGGTGATGTGATGGATGGGTGTTGCTTTGGTTGTAGCCTATCTACATCCATGTGTGTATGGTAAATTGGGGAGAGGGGAATGGATAGTTGAGGGTAAAATTCTTGGGGCTTTTAACTATTTGCTACTTTTAAATTTGGCAAATAACTATTTGCCACCCCTATCTCAATAACATGTGGGTCCACACGTGTCTATAACATGTGTGGCAAAAAGTTAATTGCCACATCTAAATGTGGCAAATGGTTAAATATCTAAAAATTCTGAGGTATTCTAAATTGTTTAGTTATTAAGATTTGATAACAAAGACTATGATATCCTTTATTAAATAGTGTATAGGTAAAAGTGAGAGAGTGGTAGAGGGTAGAATAGAGAGAAATTTCAACAAAAAGTGATTAATGGGGTAATTAGTACTCTCGTCCCAAAATATAACTTCTTCTTCACCAACATTCTCTTTTTCTCAACCAATAACAACTCTCCGGCATTTTATTTTCTCACATACCCACATTTCTCAACCAATCACAACATTCTCCCATTTAGTTCTACCTACTTTCTTAATACCTGTGTCAAACCCTAAAAATTCTTATATTCTATGACAGAGGGCGTACTCTATTACGATAATTATTTTGGGACACATTTGAATCCTAAAAATACAATTATTATGGGACGGAGGTAGTCGTAGATGTTCAATGGTAAAGGCTTATGGATTGTACCATGGCCGGTCTGGGTAGGCAATTTTTTAAGCCTTGTAAGGGATGGACCTTTAGCCTATATGCATAACAATAATATTCACCTAGTTTAATTTGATAGAAATTGGTAGTAACTAAAGAAAAAGACAAGTGGCCATGTTAGCCCATCGAACATGATGTCATCGTCTGGTGCAATCATGAAGGAGTCGGGATTAAGGAGTGGAGTGTTGTTTCATCCTTTCCATCACACTCGTAGTACTTCTCATAGTGACGAATTGGCTTCCTTCGCTATTGCTAATTTGCCTTCTATTCCTTACTCATTCTCTCTTCTCTTAAGACGAGCTTTGACAACATCGTATATGCCTCCCTTTTGTTGCATGCAGAGATGAAGAGACTGATTTTATTGATCTCTAATCATCTTGACTTCAATTTGCGATGCTCTATTCAAAATCCACTAAATCTTTGTTACATCCATTGTATTTCCTTCTATTTGCTACTAAATACTTCTTCAAAGTTGAATAATCTAAGAGAATCAAGAGCTTAAGACTTAATGTAGCTTCCTTTTTGCCTCTCTTATATCTAGTTCAAGGCTTTAAATGATGGAAATTACAAGGGTGATTCTTATACACTGTAGTGTTAGTGTTGCTCATAGTTATTTCCAGAAAGAATCTATTATATGCCACTGAGTTTTTCACATGTCTACGATTTGCCACTGACTTTATCACATTCTATAATAAACCATCAACTTTTACTTAACTTCTATAATTACCATCATCATCCGGTTAGCCTTCTTTAGTACTGTATATTTTTTTTTGTCCAAATAACCAAAATACCATGTGTTGTCACCACCTGGCTTGCCTGCGCCAGTGTGTTAGCGGCGGCGCCTGCGCACCCCCACCAGCTCCGATGCGCAGCAGCACTGCTTGCTCCCGTGCGCTACCGCCGCCTGCTCCCGTGGGGTAGTGTCGACAGCAACCGCCCCGCCGCCAGCCGCCGCCACCGAGTGTGCACAGGATAGCTAGTAGAACGATAGGGTTAGGGATTTGTGTGGCTAGGGTTTCTGAATATATATATACTGATGCTGCATAAATGGGCCAAATAGGCTACTGGGCCACGAGGGGAGGCTAAACTATTGAAGGGCTAAACAATATATATGGGCTAAAATATTTTCGGGTCGAGCACGAGTTACCGTGGATGGAATAGACAACCCGTCAATGCCCACTAAATTTGCAGGTATCGAGTCGAGCGTGTCGACGGGGAAAAGAAGGTGCCCACGCCCGCGCCCGTCGGGTATCCGTGGATACTCGAACCCACGGGCAATACTGCCATCCCTAAATTGGAGCTCTACCAAATAAGCTCTTATTTCTAAAATCTAAACCATTTGGCCACGCCAGGCGGGATGGCGTGGCAAAACAAAATTCACACGTCACCTACACGTCACACCAACGAGAGCGGCGTGGTCAAATAACGTTGCCACGCCACTCGTCAGTGAAACCAGCGTAGCCAAATAACATTGTCACGCTAACAAGATCAGCATAACAATAGTTTTGCCACGTCAGTTTGGCTGCGTGTGGTTAAAATATTCAGATCTTAAAAATAAGTTTTAAAAGTGTTTATTTTTAAAATTAAAAATTGAAAAGGTTCAGAAAAAATAAAAAAAAAATACCGCACCTTGATCGCCCCTGCTTGGCAGCGACGCTTCCGTACCCCGACTCCGACTACGAGTCCAACTCGCCTCCCCGATAAATCCAGCCCGCCTCGCCTGCTGATAAATCCAGCCCTAACCCTAACCCCAACCCAAGCCCACCCGCCGGCCCCATTCGCCTCGCACTCGCCCTCGCCTCACGCCGCCCGATCCCCCAGCGCGCACGCGCGCGCGCCGAGACGACGGCCGCGGCGGCGACGGCGACGGGGATGGCGCCGCTCGCAGATCCCGCCGCCGAGGGCTTCCGCATCCCCTTCCTCCCCAGCGACAGCGACCTCCTCGACTGCCTCCTCCGCCCCAAGATCGCCTCCGGCCGCGTCGACCCCCGCTTCGCGCCGCTCGTGCACGACGTCGCCGACGCGTTCGCCCTCCCCCCGGCCCAGCTGGCGGCCGCGCACGCGCCCGCGCCCGGCGCCGGCGGCGCCGAGGCGTGGTACTTCTTCAGCGTGCGCCCCCGCGCCCGCGCCCGCGCCCGCGCCGGATCCAAGAGGGCGGCGTCGCGCGCGGTCGGCGGCGGCGGCGGCAAGCGGTGGTGCTCGATGGGCGCCAAGAAGGCGGTGGAGGGAGGCGGGTACTGCCAGAGGTTCAGGTACAAGGAGAGGACGGCGGCGGGCGTCGTGGCGCCCCGATGGATGATGGTGGAGTACGGCGTCGCCCAGGAACACGACGGCGAGGGCGTCGCCCAGGAACACGGCGGCGAGGGCGTCGCCGAGCTCGTGCTCTGCAAGATCTTCCGCTCCCCCGAGCCTTCCCGTCGCTCGGAGTCGGGGTCGCCGTCCTCCAGCTCGTCGGCCTCCGCCTCCCCGTCCTGCTCCGGCGGCCGCAAGAGGAAGGCCGCCGAATAGCACTGCGAGTTCTGCGGCGGCCGGTGGCCGGAACGCCGCCGCCGCCGCTGCTGAAGATTTCTTGGCATTGTGATTATTAGTATATAGTGCACTAATTTAGTAATTTACTAACTATTGCAAGAAGCTAGTGTAGGAATCAAGATTATCAGACTAGGTCTCTTGTCTTCCTCTTCTTTTTTGGTCTCATGGAAGGCACCGTGATCTCTTAGATTAGATAGGATGATGAATTCTTTAACTGGAAAGAAGAACATGTAATCTATGAATTGTATAAATCATTGATTATGAATAAAAGATAACATCTTTTTTGTACTTGAGCAATCTTTTTGTCTCTGTAATCTCATGACCAAATGCCTCCATTGGTTCTGTTGAGCCAAGTGTTCAGATCACAATCAGAAATTCACAATTCTCTGTTCTGTTGCTAAAGGAAATCCAAAGTTCTGAATCTTGGTGAACTAAACAATTCTGTTTCAAGAAAGTTTCAGTTACAATTCTGTTTCTTTCAAGAAAGTTTCAGTTGCTGCAAGGCTGGGGTACACTAGGAACTGATGAACTCAACAAAACTCTTATTCTATCTGTGTGCTGCTGCATCTCAATTCTACTACTCCCTCCGTTTCACAATGTAAGTCATCCTAGCATTTTCTACATTCATATTGATGTTAATGAATCTAGATAATGTGGAAAATGCTAGAATGACTTACATTGTGAAACGGAGGAAGTATTATTTTTCAGAAATTACACATGAAAAACGTATCTTTATCAGTCATGGTACAAGGACTGCGTTCTACTACTAATTAGTGCAGAAGCTTGTAGGAACTAGGAATCATATTCTACTACTAATAAGTGCAGAAGCTTGTAGGAATCATATTCGTAGACCATATGTCAATGTCTTCCTCTGTTTTTTGGTTTCAGGGAATGATATGTGATCTCTGTTAGTACTAAATAGGATTCGAATTTCGTGTGAAAGGAAGAACATGTAATCTATATGAACTGTAGTTGTCATTGATTATGAAATGGAAGATGACACGTGTGGTGCGTTTTGAATGACTATGATGTTATCTCATGACCAAATGCTGTCGTCGGTTTTGTTGTGCCAACAAATTTGGTTTCAGGGAAATTGACCTCAACCATCAGAATTCAGAAACCCGACGATACGAGTACCAACAGGGTCAGCTCGAGGTAGACGAGAGGGATCGGGGTGGGCCCAGGCTGGCAGTGTGAAACAAAACTGCAACAGCGAAAAACAAAAAGGTAAAGGGGGCATATGGCCACAAAATCAGAGGATAACCTCTGCATAGGCATAGCTGCTTGGAGTGATCAAGATGTCAAGGTTATAATGATCAAGATGTCAAGGTTATAAGTGCACTTTCAATTGACATGGCATCTAATTGATCTTTCAAAAGCAAACTATCTTTTTTAACATTTGGGCAATAGCTTCACAATAAGCTTTTAAGGAGATCTGCGTTGGCATTTAATTATATGTTTATAACATTTTATTGAGCTAAGAATATTTTCTTTGAGAACCGAGCAAAGGAAGCCCCGTTGTCAGCATGGGCGGAGCCAGAAACTCTGTAGGAGTAGGGTTCGACTTATATATACACCTTATATTTTCAAAATTCTCACCAATGCTTTAAAGATTTAAACAGGAGTCTAGGATACAAACCTAGGGCTCAAGCTCTAACTATCTCAGGCTTGTCTCCGCCATTGACTGTTAGGATATACTCCCTCCGTCCCAAAAAGAACCAATTCCTGGCTAATTGGTTATTTTTGGGATGGAGGGAGTATTTTATTAGAAACTTAAAACAATAACAGTACAATGATTCAAGAAGGAGAATAAGGTATCTTTTGATAAAAATCAACTCATTTCTCTGCTTCTAGAAGTTCCAAGTTACCGATAATAATTTTTCCATAAAGCATCCTCCTTGGTGCTGGTTATGGGCCTCGATCATCATCATTTATATTCACATAGAAGTATTCCAAGTTATTTCCATCATTGCCCAGTATTGAGATAAGAACATTAGTGGCGTATGAAACAATATCTTATTTATTCCTCTAGATAACTCACCTCTTGAGCCAACAATTAAAAAAACTTTGTCAAAGAGCCATTCCAGCGTCAGTTTTGGATACCTTTCAAGTGCACTATGATGAGGGTATTTAGAATTGGCCCATTTAAACATATTATTTAACAAATTATTGCTACGGATTATCTACTTAATTACAGCTACAAATTATTTTTTTAAAGTAACTTAAAAATTGGCTTAGAACAGGTGGTCTAGTAATCTAATAGAAAAGAGTATTTTAAGAAACATATTTTTAAATAGGTGGAGTAAATAATTAGTGGCAATAATCCTATAAATGATCTAAAAATAATGGGAGCATTGTCTCTTAGATGTACAATGTAACCGAATGAAAATATGAGAAACTAGCACGAAAGTCTTCCACTTCTTTAGCATGGACACACAATTTAGTTTGGCGTTTTTGGCACTTGAGGTGGTGTGTGTTGCCTGCCACACTTAGCCACAATGTATAACAAAAAATTGATCAAATTTCACCGCTACACCTTAGCTAAGGGGGATTTTGCCATACTTTTCTAAAATCATTGATTTATGAGACTTAGTTTTTTTTTTGGAACCCTGCCACAAAGTGTGGCTTCAACCAAACAATTGTTAAGTTGATCAAACTTGTCTATGACAAACTATGATAAAGTGTGGCCGGTAACCAAACTGTAGCAACTGAAATTTTTTCCAGAGGTCGTCGGCTCCGCCAAGCGGGCTGGCTGCGGATGTCGGGGACGGTGGAGCTCGGCGAGGAAGCACAGTCGAGCTCTTTGACTACCAGATCCAAAATAGCCCAACCTCAGCAAAAGACAACCATCGTGCGCGAGCGAGTACGCTCCGGCTCCGGTTCAGCCTCCTCAAGCTCCATCGCCAGCTAGCCGTGAACTCCACCGGCCTCCTCTTCCGAGAGAGAGCAGTCGTTGTATCCATTACCGTCGAGGACTACCTGGTCACCACCTACAGCCTCACCAGGGACAAAGTATGGAAGGTGACCAATAGTCTCTCCCACCTCAGCTCTCCCTGCAAGCCTGACGCCGCCGTCGCCTTCCTCTCCAGCCTCACCCGCCTCTTGCATTCCAGCATCGCCGCCGCCGTTGCTGCCAACCTGAGGTTGTTGTGCGCCGACGTGGAGAAGAACCTTGCTAAGCTAAGGTTCAATCTTTTGTTTTCGGTGTTTGTATCAAAGGGCGCTGATTTACCAAAATTTTGAACAAAATATTACCAAGTTCACAAAAATGAAAAATTTTAAAAAATCGGCCGAAATAATATCACATCGAGGGGGGGGTGTTTTGACAGAACCAAAATTTCATTCTGGAATTTAAAACCCTGTGCTAAGCGCGTTGCCAAACTCTGGGAGTTGGGCATCTCGTGCTCCTAGATCGCGTCGAGTGGGGGGTGGTGGGCCAGGATTCGGAGGGGAGGTGTCGAACCCTGTCTACCACTGCCTCTCCATAGACCCTGTCGCCTTCCGCCACCCTCCATATCCATCTCCCAATGGAGCTCATCGACGGAGAAATGGCGTTGACCAATGGAAGAGAGAAGAGGGGTGAGATGAGAGAGAGAAATGAGAAGAGGAAGAACGCGAGGATAATTTGGTCCGAAAAAATTAGAAAGCATGGTGAAGGGGTAAGCAGTAGTATATCTCGAAGACCTATTAAATTGTAATGGCATGTTTCTAATTTCGTAAATAGTAATGCTATTTTTCTAAAACAGCAAATTTATAATGACATGGATCTAATTAGGCTGAGTTCGACTCCACCTCCACACACGAAAATCGGTGTTGCCTATTAACACGTGATTAATTAAGTATTAATTAAAAAAATTAAAACATAGATTGATATGATTTTTAAAGTAACTTTTAAAAATTATTTGTACCCACCTGACAAGTTGTTGCACCGTGGGTGCAATTTATGGGGAAGAACACTGCCTTAACCCTTATCCTGACGACCCCTCCTCTTTAGTTTGCTCTTGCCCACCGCTGCCGCCTCCGGCTCCGGCTCCGGCGATCCCCATCCATCCCGCGAGCGAGCAGGGCGCCGTCATTCATCCTGCTGCATCCTGGTGAGCACATCCTCCGCCACCGCCGATCCCCATCCAATCGCGCGTGCGAGCGAGCGAGCGAGCTGGGTCGCCGTCGCTCGTCCTGCTGCTTCCGCCGCATCCGTTACGCACATCCTCTTTCCCATCTCTCTCTCTCTACCCACGCACTTTTTTTCTCGAATTTGCGTTAACCCTAGCTTCTGCTCTAGAAATTTGCCTTAACCTTAATACTAGTAACTGTTTGATGGTTCCTAAGAAGGTTTGGGGGGTTCAACTGAACCCCCAATGTCCCATGTTAGATCCGCCACTGTCAGTAGAGTTGGAAATTTGCACTGGGTGTTGCAAAGCCTAGGAAGCTTTGTTTTATAAACTGTTTCCGCTTATCAGTTTATTTACCTTCGTATGTGATGATGACGCGCAGAGTGTTCTGTTAGTGGCCACCATTCTTTTGTCAAGGATATGTATGTACACAGGGCATGATTTATTTCCTCTATTTTCTGCCTGACTAGATTATTTGGGGCCAATGGAAGAGGAGGAGTACAATACGGAATCGTCTAATGAGGAAGACATGCAAGAAGATGATGGTGAGAAACAAGGAAATGTTGCCGAGGGTGATATCTTCAAGCCGGTTGATATAGATCCCGCGTTTGTACCAAAAGTAGGGATGGTGTTTGAGTCGGAGGAAGACGCCTTTCAGTTCTATGTGTCTTACGGCTGCCGCTCTGGTTTTGGTATCACAAGAAGATCGAACAATACCTTCGATGGTTTCCGCTATCGCTCTACATTCATATGCTCTAAAGGAGGGCAGTCTAGACTGAGGTCTGGCGCGACGAGATCCGCAAGAAAACGAGGCACAAAGACTGGATGCAAGGCTAAGATGATTGTTAAGGATGCTCATTTTCAAAACCGCTGGGAAGTTATTGTTCTAGAGTTGGAACATAACCATCCGTTGGATCCTAGCTTACTTAAATTTAAGAAGCAGCTAAAGAACTCTCCTTTCCTTCAGAATCCACCTCTTATGCTTGAAGCACCAGACAGTAGCTCAGCTGCTGCGCTTTCTAGCAGAGGCGGTGATAGCGGCATACCTTTGTCTACCCAGATTGAATTCAGGACCAAGATAGATAGAAATAGGAAACTGAAGCTTGCTGAAGGTGATCTAGATGCCTTATTGAGTTTTCTCAACAAAATGCAAGACCAAAATCCGTACTTCTTTTACAGTTTGGATATGAATGAGCAAGGACAACTAAGGAATGTATTTTGGGCTGATGCCAAATCACGTTCTTCTTACAATTACTTTGGTGATGTTGTTGCTATTAATGTCAGAAACTTTAGCGACCAATATGAAATACAGTTTGTGTCATTTGTGGGCACTAACCACCATGCTCAGCAAGTATTACTAGGGTGTGGTCTTCTTGCTGGTAGATCTCTTGGAGCTTACGTCTGGCTTTTTGATACATGGGTAAGATGTATGAACAGCACGCCACCACCTTCAGTAATTACAAACTACTGTCATGATGTTGCAATAGCTGTTAAAAAGGTTTTCCCTAATGCACGTTACCGCTTTTGCCTTCTCGACATCTTAAATGAGCTTCCTGAAAAGTTGGAGGAAACAGAAAAGAAGGATGAAATAGTTTCTGCATTTAGCTCACTAGCCTTTGATTCCATTACCATGCCTGATTTTGACAAAGATTGGCAAGAAATGGTCGAACAATTTCATCTAGAGGGAAACGAATGGTTGTCCAAACTATTTGAGGTCAGGACACAGTGGGCTCCTGTTTATGTGAAGGATTCCTTTTGGGCAGGAATGTCTATTACAGAAAGAAGTGATAGTGCATCTGACTATTTTGATGGCTGGTTGATGCCAGATACCTCTGTAAAAATGTTTGTTGAGCAGTATGAGTCTGCTGTGAAAGTTAAGTTAGAAAAGGAAAACTATGAGGATTTACGGTCATCTCAGATGAGGCCACCGGTGATGACTGGTGTATCTGTGGAGGAGCAAGCAGCAAAGATGTACACATTGGAGATATTTCAGAAGTTCTTAGATGAAATCGGGCATTCTTTTCATTGCAATTATAGTATACTTGACCGGAATGAATCAGTGGTTACATACATAGTTTCAGATCACATTGATGAAACAAAGAAGGTGGACTACAAAGTTGCTTATGATAATGTCGAAGATGACATATTGTGTCTCTGCCGATTGTTCCAATTCAAAGGTATATTATGCAGGCATGCTCTTACTGTACTGAGGCAGGAGTTTGTACCAATGATTCCACCAAAATACATCATCCATCGCTGGTGCAAGGATTGTAAACAAACTTGTTCTTCCATGTCACAGCCTGTATCATTAAGTAATCAGGAAACAGGAGGCTATGATGATCTCTACAAACTCACTCACCAATATTTCACAGAAGTAGTGGAATTTGGTTCTGTGAACTCAGAATCAAAGGGCTATGCTTTATCAATCATGAGGGAGATAAGGGATAAAGTGATTTCTTATGAGAAGTCACTAAGAGATCAGAGGGTTGATAGTCATGTTTCAACCGCAAATTTTGCATACAATCCAGTGAATGAGGATTTTAATGATGACACTTTGCCCATTTCTCTTAGTACAAAAGGATGGGATGTTGTACAAGGTCAGTCAAAACGTTCCCGCAAGAAGAAACTGGCAACCCCGAATGTTCTTGACACCTTGAAGAAGAAAACTAAAAGAGCATATAACAAGAGAAGGAATGCCATGGCAAATACCTTAAACACGGCAGTCACCACAACCGAAAGCATAACTGACGCCACAAATGTATGTATTGTAATAAGATCCGCTGAGTTAGTTGAAATTTTTTCCTTGTGGTCGTCTAATATTGAAGTTTTTCTCATTAGGTGCAGCATAATCAAGTTAATGAGGGATGGCCATTGACATCTACTGGTGCACACGAAACCTTCCCTTATGGAGTAAGATCAAATATACACATCCCATGTTTTTCTCCTTATCTGTTCTTTCTGTATTGGTGGATCTGATGTAGATAAAACCCTTCTCACTTTTTTTTTTCAAAATTGTGTTTGCTTTCTAGGTGGAGACTATTTCATTCGATTTGTCTCAATACAACAGTGCACCTAGCTTCCACTGGCCTGAAAGCAGTAGCAGGTCTCAGCTTCAGTGAGATGAGGTGAAAAATGCAATGGTCCATGCGTTGAGAATATTCTAAGTTTGACAGACTTGCAAGATGGGCAAAGTTATTAATTACCTTGTTTCATGCTGGAGGGTTCCTGAATCCTGACCATCTGAGGAATGTGAGAAAAGGCTCAACCTGGCGAAAACCAGTAATAACAACCGGCTTTTAACGGATTCGGTCTATATTGGTTGTCCCCTGATATTTTAGATATATGTAATGGCTGAGATGTACATAATCATTTCCCCTTTTTCTCATCCTCAGATAAATTGTAGCTTCCACTAGGTAATGTGTAATGTTAATCCTGATCATTCACGTGGTCACGTCTTAAATAATTAGACTGAATGTTACTCCTGTAAACCCCATAGTCATGGAATGTACATTGCTCAGAACTATGCCCTTCTGCAGACTTGAGTTTTTTCTGGCAACTCCACCAAAGATGCTGACTTGTTAATTTGCTGCAAAACTGAAGTCTTTGGATCTGGCAGAAACTGTTTTTTTTTTTAAATCTTAATCTTTTTGTTTCTTCCAGTGACATGTAATGTAAGTCCATTTAACCAGTTCTATTTCACAAGCTTCCCCAGCTAACCATGTACTGCAATATATGTATGCGATTGTCGATTTGTAATGGTATTATATATTTCTTCTATTTTCTGTCAGTTTCCTTTATAGACCACCTAGTGTTAATACATGCTACCTTCGTCCGAAAATGTAGGGATCCTGGCTATGTATTTGGTATATTTTTGGGGTGGAAGTAGTATACATCTAAAATCACCAGCATAATTTTGCAGCCTGCCCTGGTAGATTGCTGTGCGGCAAGTTAATGACGAGATGAGTACTACCATGAGTTACCTGAGTCTGGTCAAAAAACATGTATAGGGAATGGAACAAGAGGTAAACGCTATCACGATTAACCTATTGGGCCGCCGTTTCAAGGAACAGCTGGCGATGTTTGCTCCCCTCTACCGTTGACCTAAGCCGTTTCAAGGAGTTAGAGTTTGTGGTGCTCATGTCAATGTCTTCGTGCTAGCCGTTGATGCCGCCGTTCTGGCCTTTGGATCCTCCACGGACAGATGGATCCCGGTCCGAGGGTGGAGAGATTTAGGGACCCTTTGAATCGCAGGATTGAAAAAACATAGGAATAGGAAAAATGTAGGAATTGAATGCCATACTTATTGGATTCCTATGGGATTTTGAAGCACAAGAAAGTCTTCAAACTGTCGTTTGATTAGCACATAGGAAAAACGCAGGAATCTTAGACACATGAAGAGGAAAACATGAGGTGAGACCTCATGCTTATTTTCCTCCAAAATTGCTCTAGTAAGATTCATTCCATAGGAATTTCAAAGTAATTGATAGGAAACAATCCTTTGTTTCAAAGGACTCTATAAGATTATTTCCCATAGGATAAAATACTCTAGAATTCCTATGGTTTTTCCTTTGATTCAAAGGGGGCCTAAAGGCTGTGTTCGTTTGAAGGAATTAGGTACCCTTCTTATCCAACACGTAAAACGGAATGATGGATTAGCACAGTATTAGCTAAAAACTTAAAAAAATATATCTTTTCTATAGATTTTTTTTTAAAAAATCTATTAATATCAATATGTACTGTTTTTATAACGTATCGTTTATTAGTTTAGGAAGCGTATATGTGAAAAACGATAGAGTGTAAGTTGGGAAAGTGTAGTTGAGAAACCACCCTTAGACATTATCTAGGGAAATCACCAACATATCCATATTCATTTTTCACATGGTTGGCGGCTCTATAAATTACTTCTATGTGTGTTTTGTGTAACTGAAAAAAGATAGACAGAAGAATCCTATCCCATGAGTATCAGCACCATCAACATCATCAGCGCTTCAGCTATATCAGATGGGTGCCTTTGCGGTTCGTCCAGCAGTCTAATTATTTTATCTTTCTCCACATTCTCTGTTGCAAACTTGCAATCACTTCCGTTTCACTCTTCGGGTTCAGAAAGCAATGCAGTCTATTGTTTCAGAAAAGAAAAAAACGAGGAAGCCACTCAAGCCACGCATTGTGAGAGCAGGTACAATAGCAGGCTATAAGCCAACTGCAAACATATTTTAAGTAAATAAATAAGGAGAGAGAATAGCAACGGGCTACAAATTTATAGCCAGCTGTAGCACAGACTCCAAGATGCAGTGTGTGTATGATAAGTGAGACCAGGTATTAATAGTGTAGTATGTAACTATTGTATAAATGAGCTATTAGATTGGCTATAAATGAATTGGAGCTAATAGTTGACTATACTGTTAAACTTGCTCTGATGACTGATGATGGAGCTATGGGTGATATGCAGCCATTGGAAACTGAGACAGATTAAAAAATAGTACTACTAATGAAGTTTAGAGAATTTAAAGATGGATGGTGTTGCAGAGGTGTATAGAATGATGCAAAGGCTTTTAAACTGCAGGCTCTCACATGCCCTGCTCCTTGAGAATCACACAGAAAAAACACCTGTGCTTCAAACCAAATGTTCCTCTCTCTAGCAGCAGTCTACTTTCCCTGTCACCACAATTAACATCCACGTACCTACCGAAAATTACTATACACCCTCTAGTGCTACTGCACATGACACATCCTAATACTATAATTTGGACACTAAAATGTGTTATATCAAGTACTCTCTCTCCCTAAATATAAGGAATTTTGGTTGGATATGACACATCCTACTACAATAAATCGATAAGTCACATCCAACCAAAATCTCTTATATTTAGAGATGGAGCGAGTACTAGATTAACTTATTCTAGGACTGAGGGTGTACATATGATGATTCCTTATGATTGTTAGTACAATCAAATGCCGGCCCCTCTACGTGAAAGAGGAATTCATATTTTAGACAGTTGTTTAGAATTGTAGTGTTACGATATGTCATATATGTATTAGATTATACTCCTTTTTTCATCTAAAATAACTAAGCATAGAGCCTGTCCAGATTTATTGTATTAGATTATGTTAAATCTAATTCTTGACGGAAGGAGTATTTATATTGTACTCTTAGTTACATCGTCTGCCGAATCATTCAATATTGCTGAATTGGGTTTAGGTGGTGTTTAGATCCAGGGACTTAATTTTAGTCTCTATATTTAGACATTAATTTAGAGTATTAAATATAGACTACTTACAAAACTAATTACATAAATGAAAGCTAATTTGCAAGACAAATTTTTTAAGCCTAATTAATCCATAATTAGAGAATGTTTACTGTAGCATCACATAGTCTAATCATAGATTAATTAGGCTCAATAGATTCGTCTCGCGAATTAGTCCAAGATTATGGATGGGTTTTATTAATAGTCTACGTTTAATATTTATAATTAATTTTCAAACATCCGATGTGATAGGGACTTTTAAAAGTTTTAGTCCTATCTAAACAGGGCCTTAGTTAACAGTTGTACCACAAGTCTTCAGGCTTTCCACTGGAAGCAAGCCAGCAACAAGTGACTGCCATGATGATTCCTTACCGCTGGGTGGGGCCCACACGTCATCCGCACTGCTTCTAGAACCAAGGGCCATGTTCGAGCTTCGTGCAGCCGTTGACATGTGGTCCATGCTATTCGCAAATGCACATCAAGTAGGTGGGTCCAGTCTGATTAAAAAGATCTAGCAGGAAGCCTCCCCTGGTCTGGCCACATATGCCACCTAGTTTAAATCAACTTGGGCAAATTTGATCTGAAATCCACTCACAAGTCTGATTTTATAAATAGAAGAGTGTGTATATAATTCATTCCGTGGATTATACCGTTAAAGATCAGCTGATGTATTCCATTCATTTCCAAACAGATAATGTATACAGTCAAACCTTAAAATCTTAAATAATTGATAAAATAAAGATGTACTCAGTATATCATAATTAAATGTTTAAAATTATACTAGTATATTTATATTATGAAAAAATTGCAATATATCTTTTTATGTAATTTTTATATTTAGAAGTATATATAAAAAAATGTCCGTTTCGAATTGAAGCATTCGAATTGCAGCGTTTTTATAAACCCGGGTTTAAATCTTCAAATCAGATGGTGGATATTTACGCACAAACATCATGGGGCCCACCTGTCGGCCTCCCTCCCAATGCAAGTCCATCAAATTTCTTTTTTGGAAGTCACAATTTTTATCACCACATTGGTAGTACAACCAAACTTTGAAGTTAAAAAGAGTCGGAATTCAAACTCAAAAACCACCAAAAACTCCACTTCACTTCCCCCACGCTCTCACTCCTCCACTCCACTCGTCGAGAAAAATGGGGAGGCTTCCACTCCTCCTCCTCCTCGCCGCCGCCGCCGTCTCCACCGCCGGCGGCGCGCCGGTGTACCGGGCTGACTACCTGGTGGACGGCAACCAGCTGGTGGACATGCAGTACCACATGGGCCCCGTCGTGTCGGGGTCGCCGACGAACCTCTACCTCATCTGGTACGGCCGGTGGGAGGCCGCGGCGCAGGCGGTGCTCCGAGACTTCCTCGCCTCGCTCTCGGCCCCGGCGGCGCCGTCCCCGGCGGTGTCCGACTGGTGGGCGCGCGCGCCGCGGCTGTACGCGGACCAGACGGGCGCCAACGTGACGGGCGCGTTCGCCGTCGCCGGCGAGCGCTCCGACGCCGGGTACTCGCACGGCGCGTCGCTGCGGCGGATCGACATGCAGTCCGTCATCCGCTCCGCCGTGTACGCCTACCCGGACCCGCTCCCGCTCGACCCCTACAGCGGCGTCTACCTGGTGCTCACCTCGCCGGACGTCCAGGTGGAGGAGTTCTGCCGCGCCGTCTGCGGCTTCCACTACTTCACCTTCGCCTCCGTCGTCGGCGTCACCGTGCCGTACGCGTGGGTCGGGAACAGCGCCACGCAGTGCCCGGGCAAGTGCGCGTACCCGTTCGCCGCGCCGGACTACGGCGGCGGCGCCGGTGGGCAGCAGGTGCTGCGGCCGCCGAACGGCGACGTCGGGGTGGACGGGATGGTGATCGTGCTCGGGCACGAGCTGGCGGAGCTGGCGACGAACCCGCTGGTGAACGCGTGGTACGCCGGAGACACGCCCACGGCGCCGACGGAGATCGCCGACCTCTGCCTCGGCGTGTACGGCGACGGCGGCGGCGCGGGCGGGCTCGTCGGGAACGTGTCGCGCGCCGCCGACGGCGCCTCCTACAACGTCAACGGCGTCAACGGCCGGCGGTTCATGGTGCAGTGGCTCTGGAACCCCGTCCGCGGCGCGTGCTACGGCCCCAACTCCAGCAGCTGACCGCCGCCGCCATGGCCGCCGGGATTCTTGCGAGGATGGATCACTCGATGCCATTGCGCTCAATGGCTAGTAGAAACGGAAGACTCCATGGGCAGATTCAGAGCTCGACACCTGAAAACGTCGCACCAATTTGATCTGATCCCTTTCTTGATCAGAGATTCGGGGTGGGTTTTGTTCAGATCGGGAGAAATTCTTTGGGTTCTGAATTCTGATCGATCTGTAGGAGTGAGAAGCATGCAATTTTTTTCATTTCAATTTATTTTATTTGCAGCATAAATTATGATCGATTTAGGGGAATAGAATTGCATTAGTAGAATTCCAGCTTGTTTCAAGCTTCCTCTTGCTTGCTCAAGCACAGTTGCTGCTTTTTTTTTTTCACTCCTCTCTTTTGACTCTGCTTTTTCATCATGGTAATCTCTGCAGTTTGGTCTCCTTGTCTCTCACTCTGTGACGCTGGTAAGCTTTCTGATAGCAGTTTGGTTGAATGGCTTTTGTTTCTTTTGCAGACATTTTTCTTTCTTTTTTTTTCCTGTTGCTTCTGTATCACAATTGACATTCAGGATGATCTTGAATATTGATGAGAACTTGAGTGATGATGCTAAAGAGATGCTTTGCTCTGCAGAAACAACACGAGTTTTTAGATAAATAGAAAGAACACAAGTGACGGCAGAAGCCTTTGGTAGGTTGGTCAGACGTGTAAGGATGTCTCCACCCAAGTACAAATTGGCCCATCAGAAAACTGAAATTCTGAAAGCTTGTGTAAGGGGAGATGTACCGCATACAATGGTTCGATTGTAATGAACCATTCTTTGCAGAAAAGAATACAATTGATTTGGATGTTAACCAATTCTAAAGATGTAATATCTAGCATAACAGTATCAACCATAACAACTATATATTGTATCGATCTTAATCATATACTCCAAAATCCCATGCAGTTCAGGCATAACCCATGCCGCTTAGAACTGAGTACAAACCAACAAGAAAACTTAATGATGATAGCCCTTGTATGGTTATCGAGGTAGCCATGCGATAGTCGTGATCGTTGTAGCCGAAATCGTCACGTTGAGGGAGAAAGCAATTGTTGCTGTCGAAATTAGGATCTCATGTTCACACAACAGGGAATGGGAATGGTTAAAGCAAATATCTATGCCCTCCCCGTTGCTTGTCCGAGGCGGATTTGAAACTCTGAAATCCTACCGATCAGATTTGACGTTGCCCGACCTCGTCGTCGTCATCGTTTCTAGATGAGCAAACCGATACAAGTAACCAACTCCTTCCCTTATTCTCTCCCTCCTTTTAGCTCCTTTTAGCTCAGATCTAATACCCGATGGATATCGAGCTGTACCATTGGCCGTTGGGTATCGACTTGGTACCGATAAGTATTAGCTAGTAACTACGAGATATGAGATGATACCTGATGAGTATCCGATCTAATTCTGATATACCTCCTTGGTATCGTATTGTCCAAACGAGATCCCATGGTAAAGCGAGAAAATGGACAGTATGCCACCCTATAGATTGGGTTCGGATGAAATGCTACTTAATACAATGCACCGGATAAAATACCACTCAATACGTTGTCTACCGGATGAAATGTTACTTCGGAGATTTTTGTGCTTAAAATGTCCCTGGAGAGAGAGAAGGAGAGGGGAGTGCCGGGGAGGCGATGTCGGAGGTCTCGCCGAGCAGCAGCGGCGCCGACCGACAGGGATGACGGGGGAGAAGGATAGGGCGGAGGGTGAGCGGTGGCGAGGACGACGAGGTAGAGGGAGGAGGAGGCGACGGGACGGCAAGGACGCCTACCCGCGTGTTCGCCGGAGGCGGCAACGGCGGGGGCAGGTAAAGTGGCATTTCATCCGGTAGGCAACGTATTGAGTAGCATTTTATCCGGTGTGTTGTATTAAGTGGTATTTTATCCGAACCCAATATATAGAGAGGCATATCGTCTGTTTTCTCTGCTAAAGCAGCCCCAATACACACTATACACGGTGTGAATTACAGGAAGTGTTGTGGTCCGTCGGTTTCCTATCGGACGGACGATGGCGACGGTGGTTTCGTACATTACATTGACGAGAATCCCCTTCTACAGTTCGACCGAGGCCCTCGCCGGCGCCGGCGCCGCCACGCCCATCTCCATCCCCGACCACCACTTCTTCTCCGGCGAGCTCGCCTCGGGAGACGAATCCGCAGCTCCAGAGGCAGAGAATCGAATGCTACTACCACCCGTGAAAGGTACGGTGTGTCGTGTACCGCCTTGAAATCTTAGCTGGTTCGCCGGTGATCATGCCGTGAAGCCGCCGCCGCAGGCATCTTCCCGGCGAGCGAGTTGGTAGGGGCGCTTCCACTCGCGTAGCTACGAATCTTGGCCTTCCCGGCGGCGATTGGATGGTGCCCCTGACCCTGAGGTGAATTCCAAGAAGATCCAAGAACCATCCCCTCCCCGGATGGATGACGCGGAGGCGAACATCCTCGCGTCCCTCGGCCGCGTGCGCCTCTGCGACCTCGCCGCCGCCGACGGCCTCCCGTCCGACGGCTACAAGATGTGCGTGTCGGCCCTGATGCAGTCGCTGGCGCAGTACTCGGCGGCCGTCGTCGAGCTGCCTCCGGCCGACGGCGCCCTGCTGAGGTCGGGGCTGGACTCCGCACGCCTCTTCTTCCACCAGCGAGGGTACGGATCCGGCGAGGCCGGCGGCGGCGGCGGTGGCGGCGGCTCGGGTGATGCCCGGGAGTGGTGCAAGACGTCTGGCTACTATGCTGATCCTCAGATGTGGCTGGAAATGTATGATTTCAGGCCCGGCATCACGCCGGTAGAGCCGAACGGTGTGGCGGAATTGCCGCCGTCCGGGTTGCCTGATATGTTTTCGGTGCTTGGGAAGGTTTCCCGGGAGGTCTTGGACGCGATTAGCTTCTCGCTGAATCTGCGTAGCTCCACATTTACGGAGTTGCTTGACAACATACCCTTGAGAAGCCAGGAGGTATCATCTTCTGTTCTTTCGGCATGTTGTCATTCGAGGCCGTCGATGGAAGGAGCACAGCAGCATAGCGTCGCTTCTCAGGATGATGAACAATTGCTCATGTTTTCGGATCAGGAGAACCAGATTGACAAGACTTTGCTTACGCTGGTTAAGTCGGATAGGTCGGGCCTGTATATCAAAGATTTGCAAGGGCGCTGGATTCTTGTCGATGGGGATCTTGGTCCGCTTGATATTGTTGTCTATCCTGGCCTTGCGCTTTATCGGGAAACAGCTGGCTATGTAAACCCAGCTGTGCACAAGACGGAGGTCGGCAACTTGCAGGAATGTATGTTTGGGCGGTGTTCGTTGGTGTTCAAGCTCATGCCTAGGTCAGTTGCAAGGCTGAGTGGTGAAGAGATGAGGGCTGCTGGCCATGGTGTTGATGCTCAGTTTCAGGTCCCCATACTAGTTAATGATTTCATGCAGACAGAACATTCAGCAAATCAACTTTTTCCCAAGAACAATGAACCATCACCACATGTTGAACAGGAAGGTAACTGTTTATGTACCCCATAGTCCCATACCAAGTTGCTATACCTTCAGGCCAACTCTACATTGGTGCATTATAATACTTTATGATTTATGATACATTTTTTTCATTCAGAAGAAATAACTGCTAAGTGGCAGTGTGGCACCAATTGCTACATCCTCATGTTAGCCATCGTAAAATTCCTTATCTACATCCAGTACTTGCTATATCTGGTACATCTTGCCTTTAATATGTTCTTCGTGATCTACATTATATTATAACAAGATGTGGTTTTGCCATAACGATTCATCAAATAAGTTCGGGGTGGTGGAATGTGATGTCCACAGTTGTGAAGTCCTTTTTTTTGTCCCCACTGACTTAGGGTGAAGATAAACTAGTTTAGAGAAAAAGAAGACCAACAAGAAATAATAATTGTGTGTTCTTTATAGGATAATATTATTTGTCATTGATATCATTTTGTGCATTTTCATTAGCTGCAATATCCGTGCACGGATCAGGCTTACACCTCTAATACAAGAAAGCACAACATGAGGGTCAGGCCAAGTCTTTCTCTGCCTCTAGTTAATAATATACTGTGACATGTTGAAACAAGATTAGTTGATATTTCTCTTGGAACATTCTAATGGGGTACTATGCTCTATGACGGACGCGTTGTCGTTGACCTCTTTTTGAAGTCTCCTAGAGTGTTATTTCTACATGTACATGCTGATGCATGCCTCATTCTACCCATCCTAAGTGATTTGAGCTTATGACTTCATTGGAATACTGTGAATTGATGGCTTCTTCAATTGTCTGGTGTAGCATCGTATAACTTTGTGATGAAGAGAAAGAAGGAAGGTAGAAAAACAAAGGCACTCCCTCCTTCCAAAAGACTTCGCCTAGAGGCGCAGAGGGTGCTCAAGGAGCGTGTCCAGGATATTGCGGATAAGAAAGGCATCAAGCTGAGATTTTGCAGTCTCAGGGACTGTGAAAGCCACATAAAATCGTTAGACCGTCCATGTGAGAACATCAGAACTGAAATCGGATGGCCGCCAGGGGTTCCATTTGTCCATCCACATGACCTTCCAAACAAAGCAAAGCTCATGTTTCTGGAAGCCTATGAACCCGGATGGACTGCCTCCCAGCAAGATTTAGAGTTAAGTTTTACTGAACCATGATAACTGTTATCTCATTTAACTTTCCACACGATGTACTGTTAAAAGACATAATAATGCCTTTAAGTTGAAGCACTAAGGAGTATTTTCAGTTTTTTCAAGGTAAAGTAGGGTCTAAGGACTGGTTTGTGGTTCTCATGCAAGGCTAGGATCTGCCAACTCAAGCTTTAGTTACAATCTAGCCTAGCCTGAGAACAGCCTTGTTTGTTTTGTTGTCATGTTACATTATGTTCTACAAAAAGCTTTAAAAATTACGGCACTTTTACATGTTACTAACACGCGCACATCTGAATTCTCTTCTGCAGGAGCAGGTCTCTGTAAATTTAGATGCATTACCAACCTTGGATATGTTTTGAATTGCAGGGTTGGATCAGTAGTTTAATGATCTCACCTACATGCTGAGGAGTGAGGAGCTAGAAATGTATTGCTGACGCCAAATGGATGTAGAAATGCATACCAAGATTACTGACAGTCTGACACCAAACGCCGTTGAGAACATTGAGCTTGAGCATCTGTAAATGTAACCTACTTACTGCTGCGATTGTGTTATATTCAGATGTGCTGTGATCGGATCGAGATCCTTTGACTTACTTCCCTCTAATATGGGTCACTGAGATGTGGATCCTCTCTAATATGGGTCACTGAGATGTGGATCCTCTACTCAACGGAGTCATTTGTCAATGACTCGAAGTTAGAGAGAAGTAAAGTTAGTATCCTCATCCGCTGTGATCTAGGCACTGTACTTTGTGTTCTTTTTAAATGAACGGTCAATGGTGCATGTTGCTGTATGAATCAACTTCCAACCTGCAAGAATTATTTTTGCACACATTGATAACTTAGGGACCCTTTGAATCGCAGGGTAGAAAAAACGGAGGAATAGAAAAAACACAGGATTCTGACAGGAATTGAAGTGTAAAACAGAGGATTACAAAACACAGGAAAAACATATAAATAGTCGTTAGATTGGAGCGTATAAAAAACACAGGAATCGGATGAGAGAGATAGATTCAAAGGAAATTTTTTAAGAGGTTGGAGCTCTTGCTAAATTTCCTCCAAAATCCACCTGCAATGTGCCATTCCATAGGAATTTCATAGGATTTGGAAAGCTTCAATCCTTTGAATCAAAGGGTCAAATAGAAAAATTTCCTATAGGATTTGAATCCTATGAAATTCCTACATAAATCCTTTGATTCAAAGGCCCTTAACCCCTTAACCTGTAACATAGACTGATGAAGGCCGAAAATAAATTTGCAGGTCCGTTTCGGGACCAGGCTTTCTTGTTTTGTTCATGGCTTTTAGGGAGTACCGTGATAGCTTCCATCATTTGGAGCATACTCGATTAGCCCACTGAATATGAAGCATTTTCATCCATTTTTAATCAAGTAATGGCAGCAAGGCACTATGTATCAAGGAAATGGATAATTCGAACAACAAAAACTGAAGAACACAAGGATTAAAAAGGTAACCAGGATTTTTTTTTCCATAGACAAACATGTAGTATTTCTAAATTGTAACCCTGGGAGTGGGGTGGTAAACGGACTATCTAAATCATACACGCATAAATAAATGAATACTTGTCCATGTCCAAGGTACCATGTCTGAAAATATACACTTCATGTATATAGAGGCTTTCGAGAGTTTGCTCCCGCTGGACTAGAGGGCTAAACTACTAGTCCCTGGATTTTTACTCTATCTGGATTCTGGGCTAAGCATACAAACACAAAAGGCAGGTACCTGATACCTCCACACACTGGAAACCATTGGGAAAGGGAAAATCCCAGCGCTAAATGGAAGAAAAATAAGCATTTGAGCTCATTGCTCAAAAGTTCTAATGCTCATCTGTGATCATCTCGTCCACCTTATCTTCGTCAGCTGTCTGAGCTGCCGAAACTGGATTTGCCGCACCTGAATTTTCGCTCTCATCAGGGGGCGTCCGTTTCTCCTGGTCGCCGGTGCTTACGGCTTTGCCTGGTACACCCTCTTGGGTTGACTCCTCGTCGCTGGATACGGGCACTACAGCAGGTTCGCTGCTCGTCCCAGGTGCATCAACCAACGGTAATACAGAAAGTTCAGTAGGTGTATTACCTGATCCAGACAATTCGCTCTTCTGATTGTCAGGGTCAGGAGTATCCCTCACAGGTGATCTACAAGATCCAGTATCCATGTCATCTACCGCGGAGAACTCGATTCTGTGAGTACCAGTCTCAGGAGGCTCTGGCCTGGACGGGCAAGTGGCAGCAGCGACAGAAGCAGGTTCTGAAACTTCCATGGTTCTTTCTGGTTCTTCAAAAGTGGAAGGGGTTGACGCATCCTGCCCCCGACTGCCAGCTGATGATGAAGATGGTGAGTTCAAGTTGAGCGAGGGGGTATCACTGCTTTTAATAACTGCAGGAGAGGCAGGTGCGGCTTCCATGGATAGTGGTGCTGACGGAGTAGAGTTGTGGTCACCTTGCCCAACTGTAGTTTTGGAATGATCTACCAGGGAGGAAGCTTGCTGAACTTTGTGAACTCTCCTCTTCTTTGGAGCACTCCTTGGGTCCTTGGGGAGAGAGAGACGAGGTCCTGGAATCGGGAATGGAGGTATTGCTGGTTTTTGCTCTCCAAGTAGTAGGCACACAGACTGAGCAATAGCTGAAACAGTTGCTGGTAGCTCACATTCAGGTGGCTTGGATGGAGGTGCACGCACAGCCTCCTGAAGCCAGTGCGGTAGCTTGTTCGGTTTTGAACTTTCAAAATCACCAGAGTTCTCAGCTAGAGGATCTGACAGCTTTGTGTGATTCAGATTCATCTCAATGGGTAATTTCCCTAACTTCACACGCCGTTGCATCTCATGGAATAATTTGGCCTGTCCGTCCGAAAAACCATGAAGTATGCTCTCATGAGAACTTGATCCAACTTCATTCTGCTGAATGGAATTACTGCTGTGTCTGTTTATGGGCAGTGACCCAATGCTTTCCTTCATAAAAGGATTCGGCATAAATGGTGGGATCAACCCCATATCAGGTTTCTCCCACTTGTCAAGTGGGCCAGGAAAATCTCCACTGTGTCCTGATCTATTTTTGAAATCCTGCCACGGTGTCAGTGATGGACCACCCTCACTTAAATTCATGTAATTAGTGGGCTCAACATGAGAAAATCTGGTTGGTATATCATTGCAACCTAACTGAATGTCAGTTAGGTGGGACTGCAACTTTGGCGGCTCCATCCTCAGTTTGGAAAAGCTACTTCCATTAAGTGCCCGAGACATCATTGCATCCGATATGCCAGGAAATGATGTAGAGTTGGAGCTTCTGGTGGCTGTAGGCATTGGTTCCTCTATAATTTTCTGCTCCTCCAAAATCCATCTTGAGGCCAGCTCTTCATGAGATCGGTGGCTCAAAAACTTCAGCTTTGGATCTCTAAGCATGGCCTCCCAATTTCCTCTTCCATGCCTGCGAACCCCAATCCACAAAGCATCGAGTTCATCTTCTGACCAATAGTCTGGTTTTAAACTCTTCTTCAGGAATTTATTTGAGGCATTCTTCAAGAACTTGCTTGAGGAGTACTGAGCACGCATCATTAATTTGTCCAAGACCTTCTTATGATTTTCAGGCATGGACGAATGGATTTGTTGAACTGGGTTGATTGCCAAACCTGGAAGAAGGCCAGACATATCTGCCATGAACTTGTTCTTCTGCTTTGAAGTTCCAGCAATATCTGCCATAAAGCTTGGTAGAAATGAACTATTTGGCAATTCTGGGACACAATTACGAAGATATTCATTGCTAGTGCCCAAAGACAAGTTGGGAAATAGATCCGGTACTGACTTCAAATGCTTAAGTGGAATACTGTCTTCCAGACTAAAATTAGGAAGACCCAGTTTCCCTTGAAATGAAGGAATGGACGATACAGGATTTTCTACATGATCACCAATCCCCTTCCCGGATATAGGAGGAATCTGCACACAAAAACCTTGTCATTCTTTTTCTTTAATGATGCTCTTAACTAGATAAAACATCATATATGCTGTACTCAAGAATGGATTCTTTTTTTCCCAATTTTGCATCCATAAAAAATATTTTAAAAACTAATATCAGGGTAGGTTGCACCATTTCCTCCTAATAAGTATAAAGTGGACAACTATCTTATATTTTTCACTTTTGAAGAAAAAGCATGAACAACGATAAAGCAACTAGATGAAATAATATGCTACCAAAGAAAGAAGAGGACATACAGGTTGGAAGGGGAAGTAACTGTCTGGAATGATATTATTCAGCCTTCGCAAAGTCTCCTCGGAGGAACCAGGAAACATAGGCTTACAAGGAGTTGGTTGGCCATCATGTTTTTGTTCGCTAGAATGATCAACAGCAGGAGTCAACAGCGGTTTGTTGGCTAGTTCACCACTAGCTCTTTTTTGCTCCTTTGTGCTTGGCCCACAAACTGACCCTTTATATGAGTTCATCTGATCAGCATTTGGAGCACAAAGGCCAAGAACAGGTAAAAGGTGATGTGGAGTTCCTGAATTGGAGATATCTGCTGCCTTTGGGTGATGTTTTGATGAAGCAGCATTGCCAGTAAGCTTGGCATAAAGCTCTTGAGGAATTTCAGGATATCTCTTGGTTTTCTTCGAGGATTGCTTCATTTCTGCAGTTGATTCACCGAGACGTTTAGCCCCAGATGGCTGCACAGGATTGGGATCTTCTACAATTCTCAAGGGATTTGCACTGGAATCATATAGTTTCATGAATTCTTCAAGTCTGTCATCAGCATAATTCTTAATCACATGGCGCTGAGCAATCCTTTCCTTTTGTCTAGCTCGGAGTTTTTCACTGTTACAATCAGAAGTAAATCAATGCCTGATGATAAGGGCACATGCGAAAGTAAGTATAGGAATCCCCAGCCTTAGCATGAGGGAGAGGGAGGGAGATAAAGGGATAGATAGCATACTATTTTTCCTTCAAAGCCAGTCCAGCTGCAGTGTATTCTCGCTTTGGTTCATCCTCCTCATCAGAGTCCTATACCAATGCCAGCAAATCATGAAACCATGACTCAAAACTATTGTGAATATAAGAGTGCAAGGCAAATAGCAAATTAAAAACTGCACTGCAGTAACATATCTGCGGAAGTCTCTGAATATTACATTTATATTGAATGCACGCAATATTACTCATGGGAGATTAAACTATTCAGGGAACTCTGGTATATATCTGAATTATCAGGGAACACATAAGCTTTCAAATATAAGCAAGTTTCAACTGTTCATTTGATTCTCCAAGACACTAAAGTAGGCATTGGTTTTACTTTTTTCAACGGAAAGCCTGATTTTGAGAACGTGAACATGAGTGGTAGACTGAACACACACACTATCTCGATTTTAAAGCTATATGATGCCCACAGCTCAGACTGTCGTTCCCATTTGCCATAACAATTCAACATTACAGCTATTAACATGCTTTGTCAAGCTCTAAAGAACAACACTACCAAAATCATATCCCCCTTGAATAGCCCTAACTAGCCGATTTTCCAAAATCGTACATAAATAAGAAAAGTGAGTCCTGCAGGGTCACAGGAATTCACATGTTATCATGTGTCTGTAGAATTACATAGGATA